CATAGCTGATGTTCTGAACACTCAGTTCACCTCATTTGGGCTACCTGATGATCCTTCGTGGCGCATCCCCCCTTTGTCCCAGTCGACTTTCATATCTGTTCCGTTCCGTACAATCACTGTCACTACGTTTCAAGTTCGGAAATATCTGAAGCGCCTGAAATGTGGAAAGTCTCCCGGCTCAGATGGGATCCCGAATGAAGTGCTGCAGTCTCTTGCACGATCAATAGCCTATCCTCTCGCCATTATTTTAATATGTCATTTCGAACTGGTACTACATTCCCACAGGATTGGAAATCCGCCATCGTGACACCGCTTTACAAGAATAAAGGCTCCCGTGCTTGCCCGGCAAACTACCGCCCAATCTCTCTGCTGCGCACAGTTTCTAAACTTTGTGAGCGTATTGTATTCGATTCCCTCTACCTACACATCGCTCCGGCTCTCTCACCAGCTCAGTCGGGATTCTGGCGTGGTGACTCAACTCAATACCAGGTGACTCGACTTGTCCAAGACATAGCAACAAAGAGGAACTGTGGGGAGCACGTGGGAATGGTGTTTTTCGACTTGGCTAAGGCATTTGACACCGTTTGGCATCGTGGCTTACTTGCCAAGTTGGAGGTCACCTTCCGGGTGGAGGATGCTGCCTTGCGTTGGATATTCTCGTATCTGTCTGCTCGTTCTCAGGCTGTTCGCTTGTCCTATTTCTTGTCTGATCCCCTCCCTGTAACGTCTGGAGTGCCCCAAGGTTCCATTCTGGGTCCTTTGTTATTCTTGCTTTACGTTAATGACCTACCTTCAGTTGTCCCCGATGTTAGTTTGTATGCGGATGACACTGGCCTTATCTGTTCTGATTCCTCCCCTGCACAATTACTCCTTACCATGCAGCATCGCATCAACAGCACTGTCATGTGGATGCAAACGTGGAAACTCCAGCCCAATTTAGACAAGACAGAAGCCATGTATATTTCTTCATCCCCTCCTGATCAACCATTATACTTCCCTGACTCGACTATGCCTATCCGTGTTGTTACTCAGCACAAACATCTAGGTGTGATGTTTGACTGCAAACTCTCTTGGGATGCACATGTCAACTGTGTATGCAAGCGAACCAGTTCAGCATTAGGGGTACTACAACCACATTGCACTCATTTGCCCATTCAGTGTAAATTATTATTTTATCAGTGCTATATTCTCCCTATATTCGACTATTGCGATACCGCTTGGTGTGGCCTTTCTGACACAACTCTGAACCAATTAGAAGTCCACCATAGATTTATACTTTAATTTCTTTACAACAAGGATCGATGTTTTCCTTCGGATGCCCTTTATCGACTTGCACACACTTCTCCTCTCTCCGTTCGTCATAAGCACCATCTCTGTACACTGGTTCATAAAATATTTCTTCATAAAACCCCTTCACACATGATGAAGTACAATTGGTTTTCGACAAGCTCAACCCGTAACGCGCTCATCCTGCCTCTTGTTAAGTCAGCCCAGTATCTAAAGTCCCCTTTGTTTTACGGCTACTCTCATTGGTTATCATTACCATACGGTCTGAAAACTTGTTCTTCTATTGGTCAGTTTAAAGATCTACTATCACAACTGAACTAGACGCAATAATTATCATCGAAGAACATTCTCGAAAACCTGGGTGATGCACGAATTTTGATAGTGCTCACTTCCGTTAATCGTTTTTCTTTGTAATTTTCCATTCATTTTCTGCTTTAATTAATATTTGCTTTGTTTTCCTAGCTTACTATTTCCGTGGCTGGATCAACGCCCTTGTCTCAGGGGATTCTGTCCCTGCATTAGCTATGCTTGTCACATGCTATGAGATTGTGTCTAATACTAATAACAATAATAACACAGCTGGCCACAAACAGCTGACCACGTCGTATTATGTATACGACTTCCTGATGTATAGGGAAATTTTCTGGAAAGAAATAGGGAGACGTCAAGGAGGACATGCTATTAGAATGGACGTTAGTTGCCGAATACTAGTAGGTGATAGGATGCGTCAGCAAAAACATACTTTGGCAGAGAGATCCCGTCGACTCCAGAACAATAAGCGTGAACGGGCGAGTCAGCGCCGGTCACAGGAAACGTCGGAAGAGAGATCCCGTTGACTCCAGAACGCCCGTGATCGGCAGAGTCAGCGCCGGTCCCAGGAAACGTCAGGACAGACATTACGTCGACTCCGTAATGCCCGTGATCGGTAGAGTCAGCGCCGGTCCCAGGAAACGTCAGGACAGACATCCCGTCGACTCCAGAACGCCCGGGATCGGCAGAGTCAGCGCCGGGCCGCCGGTCCCGTAGCTATGCAGAAGACGTTACTTCAGTAACTCATTGAAACGTTATTCCAATAAAATGATGTAGCTAATCAAAGAAAAAACACATTTCCATCAGTTCTAACAACATGTACGATGAGCTAGCTAGGCAACAAAGCATAGCGTAGGGCCCTGAGCTTCCAAGCTCTCTCGTTGTGATCATAGGTTTTGCTTTCTTCTCTACTTACTTGAACCATGCACGTCTGTGATAGTTCATGTACGAGTATAATCATGGTCCTGCAATAGAGCCACAGCTGTACTTGATGTATGCAAGTAAACTTGTCGATACGGTTCAAAAATTCAATGTTAGTACCCTTCAGTGTGTTCCCAACTCACGGCTTCAGGAATGGCTGCTAGCAGGGAAAGGCACCAGGAAACCGCTGAAAACGTCACAAAGGAATGGGAAGAGAGGTGCACTGGAGCTATTGTTACTAGCCATGTTGTTATCTTTTGAGTGTGTTTACCAAGCTGTTGTTCAGTCACAGAACAATGGATTTATTCCTAGTCTATATTTCTACACCTGTGCATAAGAAGTAAGCACACACGCATTTTAGAGGCTTATTCATACATGTAGCTGGTGGAAAATGAGTGTTGGCTGGACGAAGAGTACAATGGCACCCTACATTGCGTTTGGTTGTGTATGGTTGGCAGCACGAAGCTATTTGTGGATAATATGTGCAGAATCAGGGCACAAACACTCCCTGACTCATCAATGTCATCTGCCACTAAGCCAACAACTATTACTTTTTGTATGTGCATTCACACCACACACTCATTACTATCACTAGACAGAAACACACACACACAAACACACGCACACACACAAACACACACACACACACACACACACACACATACACACACACACACACACACACACACACACACACACACACACACACACACAAAAGGGTCACTACACGCGAACATAGAGAGAGAGTGTGTGTCCGCAGATGGTTCAGTGTGTCCCCTCTTGAGCTGTCAGCTGGCCACTTATGCCACCCCAATCTGGAGCCTCACCCTAACTACTGCACTGCTATACAGTATGTTTGATGTCCTGCAGGCCAAGGACGTAAGGTATGTAAACGGTTACTAAGATCAGCCACGATAGAATTTGACAGATATGAATCAAAAGATAGTTTAAATAGTATGTGTAACTTAGAATCCCTCCATTTCAGACGTACCCTCATCGCTATTACAATTCTTTTCAATTACATCCACTTTCAACCTCATATCTTATCTCTTTTTGATATCAATATTTCTCGTAGTGAACGCAGACCGAACAAGCTTGTTTTCAACTCTCATGGGAAATTTTCATCTTCCCTTTTCTTACATAAAATCGGCAAATTATGGAATTGCCTTCCACCCAATATTACCGCTATAGATTCTGTTTCAGAATTTCGGACACAATTTCGCGCTCATTATAAACAGCATATATTTGCCTGCACAATCGCTTCACTAGTATATAAATCAATGATCATTTTCACTGTTAGGAGATCCCCCGATAGGCTATGCCTTTGGGAAATCCTTTAAATATTAAATATAAAAATCTACTTCCAGGATATCAGAGAAAGCGCACCCAGCCTCCAGAGCGTGAAAAGTGCGCCAAAGTCAGGGTCACTCGAGCGTGTTACTTGACAGAAGAAGAAGACCGGAACGAATCATGAAGCTCAAGAGGGGAGATTCCTCTTCCCCGAATTCAATCCCTTCATGCAATCAAGACTGCCTATCATGGAGGACATAGCTGTTCATTCACCCTCCAAAGTGAGTACACACCGGGCTGGTGGCTACGAATAATGTTGCCTATCCGTCCTTAGTTCCACTTATTAGTCGAATACCAAAGCACTTCAACTTACTCATTCACGTCCAAGAGCCGTACTCCACCACTTCCAGACCATCTGAAAATTCGAAAACCTTCTCCATTCGGAACACACACGGGTAATGGTGAAATTATCAGGGAATGGTCCGTCTTGTTTGTACTTGTATTGAAGTGTCGTATTTTGCTCTTGTTAGGACAAGATCATGGCTATACTTTCAACAGCACCAAAACGTCTTTTGATGCGGTGCTAAATTCGACAGTTGTCGCCTGTGTTCCTCACCTAAGGTTCAGAGTCCCTGGAAGTGTGATATTCCGCTCTAGGGTGATACTCCGCTCTAGGGTGATACTCCGCTCTAGGGTGATACTCCGCTCTAGGGTGACACTCCGCTCTAGGGTGATATTCCGCTCTAGGGTGATACTCCGCTCTAGGGTGATACTCCGCTCTAGGGTGATACTCCGCTCTAGGGTGATACTCCGCTCTAGGGTGATATTCCGCTCTAGGGTGATACTCCGCTCTAGGGTGATACTCCGCTATAGGATGATACTCCGCTCTAGGGTGATACTCCGCTCTAGGGTGATACTCCGCTCTAGGGTGATACTCCGCTCTAGGGTGATACTCCGCTCTAGGGTGATACTCCGCTCTAGGGTGATACTCCGCTCTAGGGTGATACTCCGCTCTAGGGTGATACTCCGCTCTAGGGTGATATTCCGCTCTATGGTGATACTCCGCTCTAGGGTGATACTCCGCTCTAGGGTGATTTCTACACATTCCGATTACATGTAGTTGCATGGTACATTGAGCCATGATATTCACGCTAACACCTGCATGGCAAAATCATAATCGTCCGACAACTCACCTTCGCCTTGGTTGTCGTTTCGCGGAGCTAGCGACCAAGCCTGTCCAGCAAGCAGCAATACTCCAAGAAAGGCGAACTGCCATCGAAGAGGTCGAGCCCCAATCATTGTCTCTTGCGGTTCTGGCAGGGCTCTATTCTCTAGACGTGTCCAACAAGTCGGTTCAACCTCGCTGCGCTGAAGTGCGGGCAACAAGTTGACATGCAGAACCTCCGCCGGCCTAGCACGCCCGTCTGCAACAACAGCGCGAAAGCGGAAAACGCGCCAAAGGCGGTATAGCAGACAGGTCGGAATCGCGTTACAGCTCCCACACTCACTCGGCCAGCACCGTCTCCGAACGAAAGCCCCGCGGGAGTTTCTACCGCGTCTCGACCAAGTCAACCATCCGAAGTTTTGTCACCTGCAGAAGTAGAGCAGCGAGCTCTGCTCTTTCATGAATCCAATTCTAGCCAACCAACCAACCAACCAACCAACCAATACGCTTTCCCGATACTGTAGACTGCAGGTAACTGACCGCTGCCTAGCGCCTCCCTGTCCGACTCTGACGGCGTATGATTACATTGTGTAAGTGGTTTGTGCGTGCATCTACAGTATACAGTATGCGGTCGTGTACTGCTAAGCCAACATAAACTTTAAAGTGCCAAGCAAAGTTATGACAAACCACTCTGCCTGAGCACAATGCCACGGTCACATTATTGATTGCTACTTGCTTCATGCCATCCGGTCATCCACCACATTCATCAACGCTATACTATAGCAGGGCACGCAGACGACAAGTAAAATAACGATACTTCCAAGGGCATGCATTTCTACGTGTAGATCTAAGTAATAATAAGTCATGTGCTTCTTGTGTTTTTTTGGTATCAGCCTCTTGTCCGGGCAAGTGTGCTTCTTGTGTTGAGGTACGTCTATGCGTACATAACAGTATTATGTACATGATGTTGCTCGCTGTCTCCTTCCAGTTCCACCTTCTTGTGGCGGGAGGGCATCAAGGCAAAGGCTGCCAGTAGCAGTAGTACGTGCACTGCTATTGCCACTGGATAACGAATTCCCGGCCGAGCAGACGTGAACAGACGGAACGTCGCCCAAATACGGGTGCAGGTGTCAGGAAGCATACCCATACCCATGACGGTCGTTGTCTGTCCAGACGATATTGCATCACCATTCTAGCTTGGCCCTGCGGCGCTGTACATTGTAGTGCTGTATAGACAGGTGTTCATGTATCATCAGACTGCGCAGACTAGCTCTATATGGAAGGTTCGGCTTCGGTTGAGCGTTTTTGAGCTCTGATCGATTGATATTTCTTTGCTGTATATTGGAGGAATTTCTTCGAGTTTTCGACTTTTACAGTGCACTAGGGCATACTGCGCCTACGAACGGAGTTGTTCGGGGAGTTTACTCTCCCATAGCATGAAGGACTTGCTGGAGGTCTTGGAATCTCGTTGTTTTCCTCGATATTTCTTTTTACGGAATCACTTTCCCTCTCGAATCACCATGGAGTTGTGACTCTGCATTCGGATTCAGCCCGTGTAATGGTCACAGGTGCCACGGCGGTGTCCAGACCGTACACGCGTGATGGGAGACGATGTCGATATCCAATCTGTATGGGCGCAGGAAGCGTCAAGACGTGAACTAGACGCGCTGCGCAGCCGTGTAGGCCAGCGGGAGCGAGCGAAGGGAAACAACGGACAGGTGGGGTGCTGTCGCTGCGCTGCAAACGGTGACCTGTACAGAGACTGTAGATGCCGCGGCCTCAAGCAGCCCTGTACAAACTGCAGGCCAATGATGGGTGGGAAATGTCGCAATCCGCATCCACGAGCTGATGATAGAGGTCTTGTGCCGATGGCGGCGCACTCCAATTCACCAAGCGACTGTACCACAGTGGTTCATGGTTCCTTGGGAGGTGCTGTCTCCAGCTTGGCACAGCGGCTGGGTATTCCCGCTTGCCCAGTGTCGGTTCTACCTGGACATGAACCAGTGTCGGGCGATCCCATTCTCTCTTCTGCTGGCCGGCTGGATAGGAGCCTCGATGCACGGTCTTTACCGGTGGCTGACAATGGTAAAGTGGACAATACTAGAAATGACAAACAAATTGAACCCTTTAAAACTGGAGCTGATACCAACTTACCTGAAGGACAGGAAGCGGTTGATCCGCATTCCGCTGTCGACACTTTAGCTCCAGTATGCTCGGCCGACGTGTATGACACTGGGTCCTTGCCTGGGGGACTTGTGCATGGTAATTCGGTACCAGCCACAAGTGACTTACACTCTGCTTCCCGGGAGACCAGGGGGCACACGTCTGGGGATGCTGTTGAAGTGAATACCGCTATGTCGAACTTGCGTGTGCAGGGCTCAGCTGATGTCCGGACCGGCTTGGATCTGCCCGAGCCGGAACCAATAGCTAGCTCCGACCCGTCGTTCAGGCTTGGTGATCTGTCCACAGTGGAGACAGCTGAAGCCAAAGAGGCTGCAAAAAACAAAATTTAATGTGTTCACTTTCGCCCGAATGCTTTCTCTGTGCCGTCTGGAAATATTGGAAGACGATTTATCACTACCTTGACATCATTCTATTCCTGCTTCGGAGATGGGGGATCGTATGAAATGATCGCACTCAAGACTGCAGCCGTCTACCAGATGCTAATGCTGCAGAAGCCGGACTGTGACAATAATAAATATGGTAAAATACTTGAGCGCCGCATGGACCAGTGGTCCAAGGGAGATTTTGCAGAGCTGCAACAGGAAGCGGACACCATACAGATCTCTCTTCTATCGTCCAAGGACAAACATAAACGTGATCCAATGGGTCCGTCGGTTGACCCTGCCAGGCGTGTTGCAGATCATGTCACCGCGGGAAAAGTGGGCAAGGCGCTCCGTGGCTTGACAGGCGGTGATGGTGGAGGCGTGCATCGGTTGGACGATGAGATTGACGGACGCACTGTCTGGGATATCCTGAAAGACACACATCCACCCGCAGAGCCGATGAGCGAGGACGCCGTTATTGGTGAATATCAACCTGCTCCACCTCATCCGATCTATTTCAGCAGCCTTGGACGTCAGTGGATTAAGTGTGCAGCGCTCAGTACGCAGGGTACTGCGGGGCCGAGTGGTGTTGACGCTGAGAACTAGAGGCATTTTTGCGCTAGTTTCTCTGACGCCTCCCAGGGCCTTTGCGATGCACTAGCATCGTGTGCAAGGCGTTTAGCCTCCACGTATGTGCAATCAGCATCTTTTCGGCTTTCACTGCGTGCAGATTGATAGCGTTGGCCAAGCAACCCGGTGTCCGACGGATTGGAATAGGTGAGGTCGCTCGACGCATTATAAGCAAGGCCATCCTCTCCGTCGTCGGCCAAGCCGTTCAGGAGGCGGTTGGGTGTATACAGCTGTGCGCTGGCCAAGATTGCGGTATAGAGGCGGGAATACATGCGAGGCAGCAGGCCTTTGAGCTGGGTGACACCGAAGGAATTCTGATGGCGGATGCAAGTAATGCGTTCAACAGACTGAATCGACAGACCTGCTTAAGAAATGTTCGGAACTTGTGTCCATCACTTGCTACCGTTCTAATTAACACTTACCGTGATCCAGCTCATCTCTACGTGGACGGTGAAAGTATCCTGTCGCAAGAAGGGACAACACAGGGTGATCCCCTTGGAATGTACATGCACGCATTGGGAATGATGCCCTTGATACCTTTGGCGGATGAGGCGGGTGCGGGTCAGTCATGGTTCGCGGGCGATTCATCCGCTGCTGCTCGTCTTCGCAGGCTCCATCTATGGTGGGACATAATGGACAAGAGAGGACCGGCATATGGATATTACGTAAACCCAAAGAAATCGGTCCTAGTCGTCAAGGAAAGGTGTTACCGGGAGGTGACTGAATTGTTTCCAGACACTGGTGTTAAAATAACGGACGAGGGATCACGATATCTTGGCGCAGCAATCGGAAGGGACAGCTTTCTTCACAGCTATATCAAAACAAAGGTGGACGAATGGATGGGAGAACTGAAGAAGCTAGCAGCATTTGCGCAAACCCAGCCGCAGGCTGCGTATTCTGCGTATGTGACGGGCCTCAGGGATGGGATAGATGGGCGTTCCACAGTCGTGCCATGAAGGTACCCGAGCCGATGTTCCAACCGCTGAAGGACATTGTGAAATCTGAACTAATTCCCGCCTTAACTTGCCGTGCACCCCCAGGCGACACCCTCCGACGACTTATGGCTTTGCCGTGTCGTCTGGGTGGGCTCGGTTTGATTAACCCTGTGTCCCTATGCCAGCAATACGAATCGTCGTTTTGGATGACCTACCCTCTGTCTCGGAGAATCTTGTCAAGGGATGGCTCCATCGGTGACTCGGTAGTATTAATCAGGTGGGCCAAGAGAGACGCCAGGGCATCTTCTCGACGTCATGAGAAACTGGAATTCGACGCGATATCGGGCAGTGCGTCGGAGTCGCTACGACATGTCATTGACGTCGCGTGGGAGAAAGGGTCGTCGAGCTGGCTGACGTGCCAACCGCTTAAGAAGTATCATTTTAATTTATCAAAGGGAGCCTGAGTTCTGGGACGGACTCTGCCTCCGTTACGGATGGACGCCGACCAGGGTACCGTCACACTGCTCTTGTGGCCAAGAGGCAACTGTCGCGCATTCCCCGTCGTGCCCCTATGGAGGGTTTCCCTCCATTAGACACAATGGCATTCGGGACGTCACGGCCCGCTTACTGGATGAGGTGTGTACCAGTGTGTCCATCAAGCCCTTGCTGCAACCGCTGACGGGGGAGCGTCTTCGCTACCGGACCACGAATGTGGACGACCGTGCCCGGTTGGATGTCGCTACCAATGGTTTGTTGGGCAGTCGTTTTGAGCGTACACTTATTGATATACGGGTTTTTAACCCTCACTCGCCCTCAAATCGATCTGCACCACATACTATTGTGTATCAGCGACACGAAAAGGAAAAGATAAGGCACTATGAGGAGCGGGTGAGGCAGGTTGAGCAAGCCTCCTTTGTTCCCGCGGTCGTGTCAGCCAGTGGCGGAATGGGTCCAGCGCCAACAGCACTGTATGAACGCATTGCTCATCTGTTGGCTGAGAAGAGGGGTGAGCACTATTCTCATGTTATGGCATTAGTTAGATGCAGGATTTCCTTCAGCCTTTTGAAATCCTGTATCATGTGCATTCCTTAAGACAAGGCATCATTCAAAAAGAAGTGAAGAAAAGAAATGATTTTTTTGCAGAAATGTATTGAAACAAAGAAGATCATCATGGATGTTTGGTATTCTTGCGCATGAACGAGAAGTGCAGCTACAACTCTGAGACAAAAGGTAACATCGAAAATTAAAAAAATCCAAGATAAACAAAAACCCGCTGGGGAAGGAGGCACTTTAGTTTAGGCAATTTAGTTGTGGGAACATGAGGCCGTGTACCTGACGTGATAAGGGCATAACATAGATCATACATAGACAGTCACAAGATTGTGGCAATCGGCTTTCCCCCTGCCGTGAATTGGGCCATTCAGGCTAGAATGAAATATTTTGTTCACTCCAACTTTAGCCGTAAACGCATAAGATGAAGCACTGGATTGAAAACCCCAAAGGGCACATAATGTCATGGTGAGACTTGTCAGGGGAAATTGCTGGAATATTCAGCTTACTGTGATGCTTTTAAAGTATAATGTACACCCAAGCACAAAAAAAGATAAGAAATTTATTGCTGAAGTGCATGTACTGTATATCCAAGATCAGCTGACTGGTATGCCAACATGCAGTCAGAGGCCAAGCAGACGTAGTAACAGTTATGTAAGTACTTACTGATGTCTCATGACCTGTAAGACCCAGGACTGGATATACTGGACTGGACTTCGAGCAGTACCAGTGCACACTGCACTGACTATGCTCTCAAACACTGCTACTGGTTGGCTGGGAAAGTGTCGCGGAGCTGCGTCGGCTGAACAGAGACAAGCTGCGGATGTGATCCAGGACAAAAGAGGTGGGCGTGCTACCATTCCCCTTGGACCCGCGGCGACGCTTTGTTGACAAGGCGGAAGACGCGGTGGACGAGTGAACCGACTTGAGCAGTTCCTGACGAACATCGGGGGATGGTGCCGTGTGTACGGCGAACATGAGGCAGCCTTGTGTGCTCACGAGCAGATTAAAGATGTACTGCGTCGCAACAGTGTTATGGATCACAAGCAACACGCCGCTGATCCAAGCCAGGCCAATCACCACCGACATGGATATCACCACGGTAACTAAGTTGATCTCGCGCCCCTGCTTCTGAGAGCTGAGGTTCTTGCGTACGTAGTACAGGTGCTTGGCAATACTGGTCAGCATGATGCAGTTAAACACCAGCATGCCACAGAGCGGTGTTACGACGGTGGTGTAAAATGTACTTGCATCCTTTAGCCAACATCTGCACAGGCATAGAAAGGTAGAAATCATGACTTACACCTTGCCTTCTCCACGTACAGAGTAGTACATACATGTTCATTTAAGGACGCTATAATTCTCAATACAGCATATGTAGCTATTTCGCATGTACATAATGCACACACTCACACATTCACACACACACACACACACACACACAAACACGTGCACATGCACGCACGCGCACGCACGCACACACACAGTGACACACACACAGTGACACACACACGCAAACAAACACAGAATACTAAGTCCACCACTCACAGCTTTTCCGAGCCGTAGGCGTCAAGTCTTGTTATGCCGGCTGGAAAAGCAACGATGATGAATGGGGTACCTGTGGGGTAAATAACGTATTGGAAAAGAACAGAGTTAGGAATTTCTTAGTTCAATAGTCTAGCCCTTTCTAGTCGTGCTTGGACCGATAGCGACACAATGGCCTAGCATATTCGCTAGTCTGTGGCGATGTAGTGTGGGCAGACCGCTGTGCCATATTCCCTGTGCAGAGATATATACTTCGGAGGTATTGGCTCTTGATAAACAAATGTACGATCAGGGAGTGAATCTCTCACGCCATCTGCCATCTAGTATCAGGCCAGAGCGCTTCAAACATAATTATTAGTATCATTATTCACAGGGGTGTCAGACACGGTACGGTCACTACGGTACTGAGTGTACCATGTTTGCTCCAGATACCACTGATCTAGGCTCTATATGAGCCCGAGCGCGCTAAAACATGACCACAGCTTTTTTTGAAAAAGTCGAGATAATCGTGATTTGAATTCCGCGGCAAAAAATACGAAGTGCAGTGCAACGCGATCCCCGGAGTTGCTGTTGTTGTTCTCCTTGGTCGACTGGACTGTTCCGGATGCAATTCTCTGTTGCAAGTGAGTTTATTTGTTAGAGTTTGTATTCCACGTTGCGCTGAGTCGCCTAAAACTGATCGTCCTCAATGTATCGACAGAAGAGCCTAGTAGTAGTAATGTACTGCGGAGCGGAAGAAGACGACATCATCGCACTCCATGCGCAGGATAAAATATTTTGGGGATTCGAGTCGGAAACAGAAGGAAGACGATGATGGATACAGCGACGAGTCATTTGAGGGCGACACTTTCATCGAGCGTAAAAAGAATTGATGCTGGTAGTCCCACGATCTGCAGTGACGAGGAATTCTACTCTGATGACAACCTGGCAAGCGATTGGCATCGACACTGACTTGGGAGGTGAGTCGGCCGATGATTTGGCCAGAATGGACATCGCTGCACATATCCGGGACAATGCCAGTATTGGTTGCAAGTGCAAAAACAATCACTGGACTCTGCTGCTCCCTCAACTTGCTCAAGTCGATAATTTAAGTACCCTTATGCGGAACATCGCTAGCATGAGCAGTATGCAGCGAAAGCAGTACTCTCTGGCGAGCGGAGAAAACCGTGTGCAGATGGGCTTTGGTGTGGGGAATATGAGTGCGACGTCTAGTATGTTGACGAACAATGTGTGCAGCAGTGTATACTGTATATCTGAAAGTACAGGTGGAGTGTGATGGAGAGGACATGGAGTGCCAACTTCTTCGGCCATCTCACAGATGTTGACCGTGTTTTCGCTGGCGGTTCTCCAGTGGTGCTCCAAACAGGAGGTATTTCGGACACCCAGCTCAGCTGCCTATAGACAATTTAGATGTGGCTGAGTACCTGTCAGCTCATGCTATAAGACCCTGGACAGAGGAACTGACCCGGAAAGGATGAACCAAGGGGCATATCAATTGTGTGCAAAAATGACAATCCCATTGCTGTACATAGAATTTCACCATTTCAACAGTGCTGCATATAATACCATTGTAGCAACACTTAGACATTTCGGATCAATCCAAAACTTTCAGACAGTGAACATTAGGTGTGTTAGATCATTTTTGAACAAAAAACTGAAAATCGAATTTTTGGTCTGTGGTCATATTTTGGCGTGCTCTGGCTCATATTTCAAAAATATTCAAGGGGAAGTTAAGGCTAAAATCAAAATTTCACCAGTTGTAATCTTCGGGGTGCTGAGTCGAATAGTCTTGGTCCGAGAAAGCTGAGACGCTCCCATCCTACTGTAATCCCAATCGAACTCGCGCATTTCCACCGAAACTGAGTGACTGCGCCCTACTAGATGGGGATTTGTATGCAAAATGTCACTGAAAGCGCCATGCCGTTCTTATAAAAGCACGGATGACCGCGATTGGCTCATATGTTGTAGTCTTTTGACCGCTGAGTCAACTGGTTTTGGGCCGAAAAGGCTGCGATGCAGCGTTCCTCCTTTATTTCCAATCGAACATGGTTGAACAAGTGGTCACGTGCGCCTGGGTGCCCAAATCACCTGGTCACCACGCCAGCAGGCGACAACTTTCACACCAAGATTCAACTCGAGTGACATGACTGCACTCAAAACGGTCAAACAGGCTAGTAAGTTGTACCCTGCAGGCACGGTGACCAGGTGACTGGTGTACGCATTAGCACGTGACCGCTTGTTCAACCATGTTCGATTGGGAATAAAGGAGGAACACTGCATCGCAGCCTTTTCGGACCAAAACCAGTCGACTCAGCGTCCAAAAGACTACAACATGTGGGCCAATCGCGATCACATCCAGGATGGAATCTTTACCTGTGGAAATGGGACTTAACATGCCGGCTAAATACACCACGGGCTTCAGATATCCTAATCTTGGTTGGCAGGGAGTTCCACGTGGTGATCATGGAATGTAGTAGAGTGGAGAGGAAACAGGGAGCAGTGTGAGTGGGCAGGAGGTAAAAGTGAGGACGTCGTGCACTCTTGGATAGAACTATGTTGAAATTATTGAGGGTTTCCAGGTATTGGAGGGTGAACAGACTTACCATAGGCAAGGGCATAGACTAGGCGTACGGTGCGCTGGTCGTGTTTAGTCCTCACAATGATCAGGTACAGGTGTACCGCCGCCGCTGCCATCAAGCCGAACACCATGAGCAAGCTGAGGTGCATTAGCACGGCCAGAGCGGTGCACAGGCTGTCGTTCTCGGCGCTGAGCACGTTCTCGTCTCGTCCCTGTATCACCAGCAGAACCAGCACGGTGTTGAGGATGAGTGCCAGAGATAGCTGCAGTGCTGTCTGCTGGAACGGCTTGGTGCGAAGCTTCCTGCAAGGTGGCAACAGAAACAGTCAGTGCAAGATTCACAAATACCACTTGTGACACAAGTGTATTCTACTGGTGTTACAGAATACTAAGCAGTTTTAGAGATTCATTAAAACTGATTCATTCTCGTGAAACTAAAGCTGCACCGGAATACAAGCTGCACCGGAGAAGATAAGAAGCTGTACCCTGGTTTTTTTGTCCTGACATACAGACATTTCCCCTCTTTTTTCACCGTTAATTTGACCATCGTAGTGTAAATCGGACTTTTCTTGGGGTGAATTACTGGTGTTACAAGTGCGACTTATACTCCCAAAAATGCGGTATGTGTAACATACATTTTATAAGGCCCCTGGAGATACGAATTTGACCAAACATGTCATGCAGCATGTCTCTGATTTACTGTCTTACTTGAAGTAGAGGATAATAACAACGGTGGCCAGAAGGCAGATGATGCTCAGCGCGCTGCCTACGTATGTAATGATCACCAGGGCTCTGCCTGCGTTGCCATGCCCGTCGGATGTGATGACATCATCACGAACCTGCGTGTACATAATGCATAGTGCATAGTGTATACGAAACCAAGAGGGTGCAGCTCGGATGGGTTGCTGTCGCGGCGAAATTCCTCGATTACATCATCTTAGTGATGTGGTGCATGCAAAAAAGCGCAAGCAGGATCCAAGCAGGTCTCTTTCTGCAGAAATGCAGCTCAGTTCTACGCACTACGCCGCTTCCCGCCTCAGACCCGCACCAAAACATGATGTTATCGCGGAATTTGGCCAACGAGAAAAAGTTCAAAGCTGCACACTCTTGGTTTCATGTACTCTTGATGGAGGAAAAGTTCGACTGGCACATATAATTATACAAGAACAGATCATTTCTACACTGAGCGAACGCGGAAACTGCCGAACACCTTGAATGCAGCATTGCCAAACATTCCACATAAAACACAATAATAGCTGGGAGTAATTGTTGCAATATACATGTACACTAAAGCGTGCCATAACCGGACACCTTTGGCCTTGGAATGATGCAGCGGAAACTGTCCTGATATGACATGATTCCCTTTTTATGCAGGTTCAAGGTACAGCACGTCGGTGTATTAACATGTGTCTGGTCAATACAGGATTCCGCTTAGCACAAGGTCCGGCAAACGGTATTATAATACACGCCTTGCCCATGTGATGGTTATACAGCTAGTGAGGAGTTGTATTTAGCCTCTTGCAACTGTTTTAGCTCCCTCTCTTGCCTTTCGCCGTTGCGAACAAGAGAGATACGGAAACGATCTGGACCATTTGTGAGTTGTTTATCCAGTCCTAGCACTGCAGAACAGAGATTATTGTGCGGCGTTCAGTCTGAACTAACCCAACGGACTATTTCGAGACCAGAAACACAATCAATAGCCACCACTTACGAACAGCAGGGCGAAGTTGGTCAAGTGATCGCATTCGCAACTTGTCATTCCTGGATTTTTGCCGGAAGAGATGGCCCGACAGCCATCCTGCCTCCATGATTCTAAACAAAAAGCCAAAGATAACAAGAAAAATCAACAGTGCAAGGATTTCGACCGACAGACCTTTCCGCAATCCGCATCCTTTCAACAACTCCGCCAACCGTTTTAAAAGGATCAAGGTGCGGATAGTAGCAAGTAGCAATTGCATTTCGCCCCAAATTTGGTGTTAGATGCTCTAATCCTACTTTATACCATGGTACGGTACGCAGGGCCTGTTTTCAGCCAATCAGCGCTCGTCCAGCCATGGTTATACTGGCCAGTATAAATCCCACGGGATTTATATTGAATATAAATTTATATTGAATATAAATCCCGGTGCATGGTACGTATATTGAATATAAATCCCGGTGCACGGTACGTACGCTAGGGCACTGCCACCGTACAAGTTCACTGCCTAAAAGGCAGTGAGCTTGTACGACGGCAGAACTCCAGCGCACGGACCATTCACAACACACACAACATAGTACACCACATGCACGTGTACACTCCACACAGATCGGCATTACTGACGAGGAACAGTACACAATGGAAAAGAAGAATGACCTGGAATTCGTCTACCGAGTATTCTATTATACATACTGAAACTGAGGGTAAAGAACGTCAAAATTAATAACCACGAAGTATCCCAAATGGATCAGCAATGTACATTGTACTTCGAATAGTTGAAGATCATCAACAGACTGTCTCCTTCGTAGCTAGGTTTATGATACAGAGTGTACTTCAAATTCACCTTAACCGATTGGAAAACGCTAGAATGGATTGAAATGTGATACAGTGATACAAAACAGTGTATGCAAATGCATCTACTTGCAAGTACCGTAAGCAAAACTGATTCTAAGATGGCGCATGTGAAAATCAGCACTATACCATAATCAGGATAATAGTAACACTTACTCCCAAAGAGTCCAAACTGTACTGTAGTCTAACTAGTGACGGTTGTTTGATTCAACGACAGCTCCAGCACCCCGAGCAATTCAGTTGACTTCCGCATCGCTCACGAGACAATATGCTACAATATGCACCGGAACTGAAAGTAAATATTATGCCAAACATCCATGGGGCCATTGGGTAATCTCCTTCGGACCTGGAAATGTGTAGGGGTACCTGGCATAAGTAGGATATGACCCTCGTAGTCGGGTTATACCGTACCCTCATATAAATCCCTCCTGCTATCGCAGTCGGGATTTATATTCAGCCGGTATAACCCTCTGATTCGGGTTATAGTATCCTCTACGTAGGCTGGTGTGAGTGGTCAAGATTGGGACAGGAACAGCCACCTACCAAGTTGAAATACTAAGCTTCCATGGCACCAATAATGGAATAAAAATACTCTTTCTGCACAGGCAAGGCACTAGCTTTTCTTGCACAATACAGTAGTACACTTTTAATGAAATGAGGCCGTACAGTATGTTTGCTCTAGGGGTCCTGAAATGGATTGCAACATGCTTCAGCATGTATGGTCATGATCCAATGCAAAGTATGAGGACTGAACTCAACTTTGCAACTTTTCAATTCATACTAGCACCTGCCTTACCGGTGTTTTCGTGCCAATAGGAACACAGAGCGCGGTGCGTGCCGCCTATGTCCTTCATATTGTACGAGTGAACGTACACACACGTACACACACGTACACACACACGCACACATGCATGCGCGCACATGCATAGAAACGTAAGCAAAACACGCAGAGACATCGTGGCCTAGTGATTTTGTCTTGGTTTCATGTGAACCTGTAGGTATGTACATATGGCTAAAAGCAAGTGCCACAAATACACAGGCACACAAACACCAAACTGGTTGTAAGAGAGAGAAATATGCCGAATCTCCTTCTTCACCAACACGGTCTTACACGGCAATCATTGTGGACGCGGTGGTGGTGAAGAAGTAGATTGAGGCATTAGTAATTGGTGGCAGTGGAGCCTCCGCAATTGAAGAAGAAAAGTTTGAACAATAACTGCACCTAACCAATACCTGCATTCAACACTAGCTCATTTTATCCTATGTGGGTTCAAGTAGGAGCAACCATTTTCGATAGATCTACCTGTTGCCAAATTCCGTTCGATTATCATTTACGCATGTTGCTGTATTTGGTTCTTGTCTCGTAGAGTCCAGTGTCTGATGTCATAATATGGTCTAAGTGTACGTGCGAGCATGGTGTGATGTGTGACGTTTATGGTATGTGGTGCATGCAAGAGTACGAGTTGTCAGTGTCTGAGGATCTGCTTCCGTCTGTGCGAGAGTGACTGTCAAGTGATTGCTGTACATGCGCAGTGCTAGTTTGGTCTGGGAATGAGAGTCATGCGTGATTCGTCCGTGGTCTGGTCATGTGTTCTTTACGTGTTGGTCCCTGAATGGTCGTCACGATCTGTCGTCTCTTTATTACTGCTTGTTCTTTGTTGTTTCGTCGTGTCTTTTCTCGTCGTCGTTTTGGCTCAGTCTAGTCTTTTCGTCTTTCTCCTCTTGCGCCCTCGTCGTTTGTTGTTAATATAAGAATTGAGCACACAATGTAGATTTTGCGTTGCTGTGTGGCGGGGGCCAGGGGAGAAGGCAATAACCCAAACCTATTTTGGTTTCATACCTGCGCATTGTAAATGCCAGACTATAGTTATGCATTGTTTTCTCAGCTGGAGATACGGCAGAGTTACTTTAGCGAAATCCTCAAAACAAGTCCAAACCAAACAGATTGAAGAACATACTCACTTTATGTGTGAAGTTCAACTGGACCGGGTTGCCAAGTAGGTCCACGTGGTCATGCCCACGAAACTTGACGCTCAGCACAACACTTTGGATAGCCTCTGGTGCTGGAGATCCTGGCTTCAGGTCTTCACCACTGGGACGGAATAGCATAGGAGTCCGATAGGCAATGATCTCCACAGGCGAAGCTTGACCACACTCACTTTGGCTTTCCGGATCACTCGTAGGGGATGATCGCATCAGCGGTGGAACATGCACACCTGCCAAGATGCTTGGCTCGCCATTGCTCCCCGATAAAATCGTAAGTGATGAATGATTGTCGTTGCTGGTTTCATCAGAAACAGAGAGCTGAGAGTAGGACTGGCTCGGGCAATGGCAACTCAGAGCTAGGTTTGGAGAAGATACTTGGAATGGCGTGTGAAAAGAGACGGCTGTAGCCTCCATTAAGGTTTCCAACGCTATGCGGATTCTGGAAGCAAAGCATTCACAATCACACGTCTACTTGTAACGAGAGAGTTTGGAAGCTCGGAGCCCTACGCTATGCTTTTTTGCCTAGCTCATCATGCATGTTATTAGAACTGATGGAACTTGATCTTTGGCCCCAACTTAGTTGCGTTCTTATAGTGTTGTACGTCGACCATGACGGCTGCAATGCCCAACCACACCACAACGAACTGATCGGCTATAGCAATGTATGGCAAAACGTTTCCATTCCAACAAACAAGGGGGGGGGGTGCCAGGTGGTAGCACTGAGCTCTGGAGACGAGGATCATTATGATACGTACTTCGAAGGAGTTGTAATACTCGGTTTTCATTCGGAATAAATTCCTCTCTAGCGTGTGCACTGAAGGTAGAAAATGGAGATAATCAGTGTGATATCTATCGTACACATTATGATACGCAGGTGTCATACTCCGTTTCCGATCGGTATTAATTTCTCTCAAGCTTGCGCCCTGAATGTTGTTACTATCCTAGAAAATGGACACGTACAGTGTGAAATCCATGCTTCCCCTGGGATAGCTTACGTTGCTGTTGCCTTGGACAGGGTGACATTGCCTGGAGCGTCTTGAGGAACGTTCTCCATCAGGTTGCTAACGGTTGTGGCGACATTGCGTGTGACCTTGCAGAAGATGTTGTTATAGAACGCACAGTAAACAGAAACTAGCTGCAATGTAGCTATGGTGTACATAATTGTATTATTGCTTTGTCAGCATACGCACTGGCTGTGGTACTGGCAACATGGCATTGACCGGTTGTACGCACGTCACCACTGAGCAGCTAGCTGGCCAGGGGCGTCGACAGTCAAGCTACTGTATGTTATTTTTTTATTATGGAATGAAGCAAGCTTGTCATGAGGAACTACTCGCTGTCGTGGAGTGTTGCTGGTGAACTATTCGTGCTGGTGTCTGCAAGTTGTCAGGACTGGAAAAAGAACCTAAAATTTATACTACTGTTGGATGGAGTAAATGAAGACGCCATCAACGAACTTATGCTTTGAGTTGATTGAGAAAGCGTTGGTCTTTGCCTTACTCTATCACAACTACACCCAACTTCGCTAATAACCACTGCAGGTATTACGACAATTCGCGAATAACGACAAAATTTCCATGCCCAGAGCAAAGTCCCATCTGACTGTATACATGTAATGGGACTTCGAGTAAAAGGAAAATTCGCGAATAAGGACACTTTTCTGATGCCCCGCCGAGTGTGGTTATACGCAAAGTTGACTGTAGTTCTGGAAGTAACTCCCAGCTCAACTGACTGGAGAGCTAGCAAATTCGACCCATTGTGCTGTGCAGAGATAGAACAGCATTTGTACATAAATGTCCACAGTTGCTGTTATCCGCCGTGGAATAAGATACAGACACTCATCCGTTCTTCAAAAGGAAGTGTTCGCCCACTCACCGTGTTTACAAACTCCGATCCTGATCCATTGCCGGCGGACTCCACCTGAGCCCGGATGGATTTATTCACCAGAGACGCGAGGAGTGAGGCGCCGTTAGCAGTCACCAGATCACCTGGCGATGTGGCAGATAACTGCTGTAGCTTTGTAGCAAACCCTCGGACTTCATCTTGACTCACTGCACTGTCAATCGCCTGCAAGAAAATGTCGAGGAAAAGCAACATTCGAATATTAGGGTAGAGGCGCACACTGACAGAGTTGGCCATGTATAAAATGAAGGCCGCAGACATCACCACGCAACTGGTTCGAAATTTTGGTAAATCAACAATACAATCCAGAATCGATTTTCTGAACACGAAACTCACTGCTACAGAAAGTTGTTTGGCTTGTGTGGTACGCTCGGCCCTAGCCTGGGAAAGAACTTGCATACTTGCAGCAAAGCACCTCGACATACTGAAGTTCCACAGTTTGTTAAGGTTTTAGATCAGCTTGTAGGATGCCTGAAGTGGGATTGTGACATCGCGTGTAAGGTGTTTGTCAATATGTTGTATCGCGCCAAATAACTTCTACGTGTTTTTTCAGGAGAGAGAGATAGGGAGAGAGAGAGAGAGAGACAGAGAGAAAGAGAGAGAGAGACAGAGAGACAGAGAGAGGCAGAGAGACAGAGAGACAGCGAGACAGAGAGACAGCGAGACATAGAGACAGAGAGACAGAGAGACAGATAGACAGAGAGACAGACACAGAGAGAGAGAGAGAGAGAGAGAAAGCGAGAAAGAGAGAGGAGAGATAGTATATATATTGTGTAATCTGTATATTTTATTTACTGGATTCCCCAGAGGCCGTTCAGGCCTATCGAGGGGTTCTCCATATTGTACATAATAGAGAGAGACAGAGAAGGAGAAGAGGGCGAGAAGAGAGCGAGAAGAGTGGGATAGATGGTGCCCTTTTCCTTGCAAATTACTAGAACTCTTACCATTTTTAGGGTAGTGACGTTTGAGTCTTGTTGCTTGCCCACTTCCTTCTCTACGAGCAAAGATACGACAAAGATTGAAGAAGTAAAGACAAAAATGATCACCACTTCGGCACAGAAGCCAACTAGCCATCGGTTATCATGGTAATCGCCTGGTAAATAGTTTTCTCAAACACAAACGTGAATTTCAACCACATCCATGAGCAAGACTAGCTTTTGGTGCCGCACAAGAAGCATTTGCGAAATTCTCAACATGTTCTTTCATTCCGTCCTCTGTGGATACAGGGAGAAAAGAAACTAACGCGTAGACTGACGTTGAGAGAGAACGTAAACTCTAAAGGTAATAATAGCAGCGGTGAAAATAGTAGGAATGCACCCAAAATTTATCCGGAAAGTGTTGATTCACTGGTTTGGAGGAAAGAGGGAAAGTGTTGATTCTGCAACATTATAGACAACACGCACGCTATAATATTCACACCTGAGTGATGTACATGTCCGTGTGAAGATGTAGATCTACTAGGTAAGCGTAGACATGACATTCATTTCTTGTATTGTGATGAGAATATTACTACTAGTATGGAGAACAAACTGATCAAAATAGAAGGTGTTGGTGTCCTCCTTGTCAGTCTCCATGTATACATTTTCCGTGTTGCTCTCTCGCTATCCCTCTCCAATACTGCTGCCGTTATCACCTTTACCTGGCATATCAATTATATTCTTACTCATTAGTTTCTTTTTTCTGCCTGGATCCACAGGAAAACAAGGTGATTAAGGAAAGTGTTTTTAGAAATGTCGTTGTAAGGAGGCTTTTTTTAAGCCAGCTCCGTTCCTCAGTTAGACTGCAAACAGGCTTTCGGCTGTGGACTTAGACTATGTACATGACTGTACAGTCCTAGCCACAGAAATCCGACCTCATGAACACAATAGCGCCGAGAGCTACGTGGCCCTAGCATAACAAACACCACTCTGCTCACTTGAGCACGGCGCTACTTTATGCATGGGGTCGGATTTCTCCGCACAGAGTGTAATGGTGCGGTTCAGTTTGGAAGCAATAATTATATCAAGCTCTGTTGGTCTGTGTTTCTGGGCAACGGATGCAGTGTAGCATCAGTACATTGCGCACTGCAAATGATGGTCAAAAAGGGAAGTGGAGGGGAGAGGGGGAATCTTACTTCAGGGCAGTCTACCTACAACACAAAGTGCATATGACTTTCAACTTGCACAGCCTTTGAAACCCTGGTAGTGGCCGTGGTACAGATACGAGGGGACGTAGATGGCATGAAATCGGCCAATAGGGGTCTTGAAAAATAAATCTAGCCGAGTTGATCCTGAATAACCTGTTACGAGAACCCTTACCAGTACAGTTAAGGAGAGAAGCAGTCCAGTCAGGTGACCATCTTCACTCTCATTGCATGTAGATACAGTTACGTAAGTATCCTTTCCCTGCCCAGTCACGTGATACCCAGCATCACATGTCAATGTGATATTGGAGAATGGCTTGGCAGAACCTAGTGGTGACGATTCGTCTGGACTGTTGTCGGTGAGCAGAGCTGCTGGTTTCGTCACGTGTAGTCGCCCGTGACCTACACCATCGCGCTTTAATGCTTTTAAAGTCTTCTCGTTTCCCTGTTTCGTGTACTTGTCCAACAATTTTCGATCATTAATACCGGCCCACATCACCCGTATCATAATTCGAATAGTGATTACTCGGAATGGTGTTTCCACCACCGACCCGAAGCCCAGTGCAATCATGTATTAATAGATCGTAGACAGAATATTACTTTTCGTGAAGGGCATGCTATGGTTAAGATGGTGTTGTTCCTTTCTTGCATCTATTCTCTGCGCCCTGCGATGTACGTGTAGTATGCTTTTCGGAGGAGATCCATAGTGTGTGCGTGGGGGGGGGGGGGGTACACACCATAGCACAGCGCCACAACTTATTGTCTTTGTACACATCCTTACCTCCAATGCAGCTCAAATTCTGGGATGACCATGTGCCGTTTTCCCCGCACTCTACCCACAAGCCAGCTCTTGGGTCGTAGTCCTCAGGGAAAGGCTCACTCTTGCAGTGAAAATTGACGATGCCCAGATACCTACCCACTGTGATATGCAGTGTTGAGCCTTTGAAGTAGTGATCGGTGTTGCTGCGTATAGTGATGTTACCGGATTGAACGTTGTATATGGGAGGTAGAGCAGGACATATGATTGCTGCAGGAACAGAAGGCCAGAAAATGACATGTGGAATCATATGGATTCTTTATCATTCATTTCTCTGTCCACCCTGCACTCACTCGTTGCGCACACATCCGCACACTCACTCATGTGTGTACACCACTATTGAACACGTGAACATTGCCAGTGGGGGCCACCACAGCAAAGTGGGGGCCACCATAGCACAGCGCCCCAACTTATTGTCTTTGCACACAATTCCGTGGTCATGACTATCCAGAACCATTGCCTAGTCTAACAAAAACTCCAGCTACGTACAACCAGAAAAACTACGCCCGACCATTATGCATCCGCACACTCTAGAATAATCAAATCACTAGAATAATCAAATCACTAGAATAATCAAATCACTAGAATAATCAAATCAATAGAATAATCAAATCACTAGAATAATCAAATCACTAGAATAATCAAATCCCTAGAATAATCAAATCACTAGAATAATCAAATCACTAGAATAATCAAATCACTAGAATATTCAAATCACTAGAATAATCAAATCACTAGAATAATCAAATCACTAGAATAATCAAATCACTAGAATAATCAAATCACTAGAATAATCAAATCACTAGAATAATCAAATCACTAGAATATTCAAATCACTAGAATAATCAAATCACTAGAATAATCAAATCACTAGAATAATCAAATCACTAGAATAATCAAATCACTAGAATAATCAAATCACTAGAATAATCAAATCACTAGAATAATCAAAGCGATGATATAAAAAAAATTACAGTCATGATGATTATTGGGGTGGGTGGGTGGGCATTCTCACTCAACGCTCCGCACAAAGACAAAAGAGGCCGACCCTGCACTCGTCACATCCTTTTATCCCACACCGTGCTCCCTCATACCCGTTCCCGGGTGGACAGAGAACACTACTTCTCTGCTAATTCTTATACTGTGACGTCAACCAAAGAGAAGTGACATATCCTGAGTAAGAGCCGTTGCACAGGGAATGCAACCATCTGATGGATGATGTATTACGTAATTATGACGTTTCAGTGATGTAATGATGATGCACGCGTGACGGGTAACCAGCATAATGGCTCTATACTTGATGATGGAAAATCATGTCACATCGGTACATGAATGGACTCAGATGTAGAGCCAAGGTTTAATTTATACAAAAGAGAAAGACCAAGGAACTACAAGTTACGCTATACTGTCCACTAACATCCAAGATGTGCTAGAGCTGTTAGCCAGTTAGTTGTAGAACGTCAGTGCTGTCGGTCGGTGTCGTGCAATGTTATCGCATGACCTGATTGGTTTGTAACAGGTGAAGTTAGTGGGCAGTATAGCGTAACTTGTAGTTCCTCGGTCCTTCTCTTTTGTGTAAATTAAACATCGGTACATGTTGGCACTTTTGCAGCCGGGAATGGAGTTGCATGGGCATGGTGGGTTGATGTGAGACCACAGTAGGACGACGAAGGTATTATGCTATATCACTTCATGTCTTGTATGTTGTATACTGAAACATTCCACGTCCTGACACGTAGCTTCAACACATCTCCTTAGCGCTAACCAACAGCCTTCCAAATCGGAAGGTTCAAGGTTAAGGAGAGATCAAAAATGGGAATTTATGCGCAACGAGAACGAGCAGAAGCTACAGTCCCAACGGAACAAAGAATGTCGATTGTTACTGGACGATGACGAGACTAGTAAGATACTTGACAAAGCGGTCTTACTACAATTCGAAGCACCAAAGCAGCACACCACCCAACTTGGGTGGCTCAGAAATATCAAGGATAAATATACAGATGGGGGAAGCTTTGTGGACAAGAATTGTACAAGCAGAACGCCAAACTCTTACACAAAAAGACGCTACCCTCAATGAATTCTTCATTTCACAGAGCACGCTGTCCGTGGGCAATGCGGATAAGTGTGGGGAATGCGGATGAGCAAACTCCAGCCATTAATACCACCACTGCCATCCTCAGCCCCTTCTAAACCAAGAACATATGCAATAACATGTTATTTATAAAGACAGGACAAGTGAATAATTAGTCAGTCCATTGTTCATGATGATCTCCGACGGTTACGTCGGCAAGCGAGCCTCCGCCACTGCCAAAGCAGCGTGGGCTCCGCACGAGGGTGCAAATTTCAAACCAAAATTTAAACGCCTACAACCGCGAATGCACATGATACAGGATTTCAGAAGGCTGAAGGAAATCCTGCATCTAACAAATGCCATAACATGAGAGTAATGCTCACCCCTCTTCTCCGCCAACAGATGAGCAATTCGTTTGTACAGTGCTGTTGATGCTGGACCCATTCCACCACTGGCTGACATGACCGCCGGAACAAAGAAGGCTTGCTCAACCTGCCTCACCCGCTCCTCATAGTGCCTTCTCTTTTCTTTTTCATGTCGCTGATACACAATAGTATGTGGTGCAGATCGATTTGAGCGTGAGTGAGGATTAAAAACCCGTATATCAATAAGTGTACGCTCAAAACGACTGCCCCACAAACCATTGGCAGCGTCATCCAACCGGGCACGGTCTTCCACATTTGCGGTCCGGTAGCGAAGACGCTCCCCCGTCAGCGGTTGCAGCAAGGGCTCGATGGACACACTGGTGCACACCTCGTCCAGCAGCCGGGCCGTGACGTCCCGAATACCATTGTGTCTAATGGAGGGAAACCCTCCATAGGGGCACGACAGGGAATGCGCGACAGTTGCCTCTTGGCCGCAAGAGCAGTGTGACGGTACCCTGGCCGGTGTCCATCCGTAACGGAGGCAGAGTCCGTCCCAAAACTCTCCCTTTGTTAAATTAAAATGATATTTCTTAAGTGGACGGCACGTAAGCCAGCTCGACGACCCTTTCTCCTTCGCGACGTCAATGACATGTCGTAGCGACTCCGACGCACTGCCCGATATCGCGTCGAATTCCAGTTTCTGATGACGTCGAGAAGATGCCTTGGCATCTCTCTTGGCCGATCTGATTAACACTACCGAGTCACCGATGGAGCCATCCCCTGACAAGATTCTCCGAGACAAAGGGTTGGTCATCCGAACCGACGAGTCGTATTGTTGGCATAGGGACACAGGGTTAATCAAACCGAGCCCACCCAGACGACACGGCAAAGCCATAAGCCGTCGGAGGGTGTCGCCTCTGGGTGCACGGCAAGTTAAGGCGGGAATCAGTTCAGACTTCACAATGTCCTCCAGCGGTTGGAACATGGGTTCGGGTACCTTCATGGTACGACAGAGGAACGCCCATCTACCCCTGAGGCCCGTCACATACGCAGAATACGCAGCCTGCGGCTGGGTTTGTGCAAATACTGCTAGCTTCTTCAGTTCCCCCATCCATTCGTCCACCTTTGTTTTGATATAGCTCAGCCCCTTCTACAAATCTCTGCTTCTCAAGCTGAGGTCGAAGGACTCCTTCGCGGAGTTTACAGCTTCTATAACCTATCATCCTAACCGGAGAAATCTCCCAGTATATAATGTACTCTTGATTGTATACTATGGTCGTACTGGCTCCATCCCTTATCTCCTAAGCTACTACCCCTCCCTCACCCCTCCCTCCCGATGCGTCTGCCCACTGTATTGGCAAAATTGAAAAAACAACTAAAAGGACCAGTGGAATCCCTGCCGCATTTAAAGCTTGATAATCAACGCTCAAACTAGCGCCTTAACCACTATAGGAGAAGTCCATGCTGGTCTCATATGTGGGACTGATACATTGCAAGCCAAACAGAATGCAATTTACATATCAGTGTACAAATCATTTCATCTCCATGAACGTAGGTGGTACTGGTCCCCAACCTAGCGGTGCTGACGAAAATCAATTTGAAAACTATTTCAATTTTGTAGGTATGTGTCATATTGGTGGGTCCATAAATAGCACTTACGTGAACAAGATGGCACAGATGGTGTCCATTGACCGCCATTTCCACAAGTGATATGCTTCTGCGTGGTAGATTGTGGTTGACCGGTAATGTAGTAACCAGTAACACATTGTACATTCACTACTATTCCGTGGAGAACAGTAGATCCAGGGTTGGTCACTCCTAACCCACCAGTCTGCCTTGGAACAGAGCAATGTATTTCTGAAAGGAAATGTACCAAACGCTCTATTCTTACTCGCTCACTGTTGTCTCGACGTACAGAGCGACTAACGCTGAAAGATCCACCACACGTGATTGCTCGGCCGGGTTTTGAGGACTTTAGACAGTAATTGTGCATTCTCTCATGAATCCGCTTTGTCACGAGTTCACACAACAAATCAGGATTTGCGCCTTTTAAGTCTTCTCAGTCGGAGTTACAGACGTACAAGTAGGCGGAAAGACGGGGCCAGCTAGCATGCTGGTATGGCAAGACAGTCAGCTTTTCTTGGGATAGTGTGAGTGGTCTGATCTAGAGGGACGTGTTGCGGTTGATGCAACGCCAGGCATATCAGATATGATAAGGCTGAGCAAGTTATATAGCAACATTGTTTGTTAACAAACGGACCAATGGGATCCCTGCCGCATTTTAGGCTTGTCATTCAACGCACAAACTAGCGCCTTAAATACTATGGGAGAAGTCCATGCTGGTCTTAGACGTGGGACTGATACATTGCAAGCGAAACAGAATGCAATTCACACATCAGTGTACAAAAACATTCCCTCCCAAAGAAGGTAGATGGTACTTGTTCCAGACCTAGCTGTGCTCCAGAAAATCAGGTTTGAAAACTATTTCAATTTAATGGGTATGTGTCATATTGGTGGGTCCATAAATATAGCACTTACGTGAACAAGATGGCACAGATGGTGTCCATTGGCCGCCATTTCCACAAGTGACATGCTTCTGCGTGGTAGATTGTGATTGACCGGTAATGTAGTAACCAGTAACACATTGTACATTCACTGCTATTCCGGGGAGAACAGTAGCTCCAGTGTTGGTCACTCTTAATCCACCAGTCTGCCTTGGAACAGTGCAAAGTATTTCTGAAAGGAAACGTACCCAACGCTATATTCATACTCACTCACTGTTGTCTCGACGTTTAGAGCGACTAACGTTGAAAGACCCACCACAGGGGTGCGTGGCCTTGTTTTGAGGACGTTAGAATGCGCTTTGCCACGAGTTCACACAACTAATCAGGTATTGCGCCTTTTATGTCTTCTCAGTCGGAGTTACAGAGGTAAGCGGAAAGCCAGAATGCACTTAGCATGCTGGCATCGCAAGCCAGTCTGCTGCTCTTGAGAGACTGTGAGTGGTCTGATCTAGAGGGGCTTGTCGTGGCTGATGTAAGTTAGAATTGTGTGCAAGAATGCTCATTTATACCAACATTTCCATGCACTTTGGGGCTAAAATCGATATTCGAGGGGATGTGCTGGGAACGAGAATGCAAAATGTCAATTTCCACGAAAATGTAGCTGTTCATAGGTCAGGAAATGATGTGTGTTGCGGATAGCGTGTAAATAAGCTTTCAGGCGCAGGCGAAGTTGTTACGACTTCGGTGGGAGCTGCAGAAGATGTTGGCTGCTCCTACAGTTGGAGCTCATGCTTCCTGGACAAGTAGTAATTCAAGATCGCAGGTTATAAAATGAAAGGCCGTAATCCCGTATGATATAGCACTTACGGGTTTGGAACTAAACGAAACAAAAGTGTAAAGCACTACCTGTTGTAGCTCTACGATGAGTGGATAATGTTACCATGGAAATTGTTGAAACACGTATCTGATAGAAAGCTATCTTTCTACTTCGAAGTAAGACAATGAGAGAATTTCAATACTCAAATTCTCATTATATGTACCTGCCAAAGGAACGACAAGAGGAACTGGTAGCGTGTAACCATCCGCCGCAATGACATCATCCATGACGGAATTATCTCTCTTGTTTCTTGGCCTCCGTTGCACATCATGACCGTTGGAACTGTTGCCTTCGGGTACAGTCAGAATGTCGAGAGTGCTGTTCCTGTGTACGCGAAAGAGCTGGAACTCATATTGCTGGCCCTGATTTAGCGATACAGTGAAGCTGTTATTGGCGTTCAGCGCACTTTCATCCCATGAGCAGTTTGCATAAACATGCGGCTTTCGATAGCAGTTTAGCTGGAATGGACGATAGTTAGCACGGTGCTCGATGCCTTCACCTTCAACAGTCTCTAACGTCTTCCAAGGCAGTGTGATGAAATGAATGGTGACGTTTTCTCTTTCAGGTTGGAATGTGACAAAGTTCAGAGGTGTCTCTGTGACGTTCCGCACCCATTTGGATTCTGAAAGAAGAGAAAGGCAGTCCAGACTATTAAAATGTATATGCAAGCGCAGTACACATTCCAGAAACATTATAGTTATGGTAAATTGAAAAGTTTCTTGCTAGTTAAAAGAATTCACGGTTCGCGTTAGACTCGGCTTCAGCCGAGTTTTTCGCATCCGTAGGGACGCCACCACCCTCTTTGGGACAAGCCGCGGAGGCAGCTCCTTAAGCGGAGGGAGGTGAGTGGATCAGACCCACCACAAAGTGGTGAAAGACCGAAAATCCCATTCGCTGCATCGATACGTGCTGGTTACTAAGGAAGAAAAACGTTAACATTGGGTCATGCCTCATTCACAAGGCAAGAGGCGAGCAACTTTGCATCAAGGGCTTTTGCATTTTACTACCTCCTTTCTTCAATCGGAAAAGACAATAAGTATGAGATATATGTGTGGCCAACCACAATAAAATAAATCAAGGCATATCTGAAAGAAGAGAAACACACAATAAAATATCATGAGAGAGAGGCGGAAAGCAAATTGATGTTATGAATGATGATTCAATCTCTCCATCCCATAACCTCATCCCAAGACGTAGGGTTCTTTTTTCCAATGCATAGACGGTATCAATGAGGATCTCACCGTTTGATGATTGCAATGCAGTAAATAGGCCGTTGCGCAGTGCACTTACCAGAAGTGTTTACATCCTGGAAGAGCACCGTTGGCACCTTTCTCTCTGCAGTCTCTTTTGGATATGCAATCAAGGCAAATGGCTCGTCTTCCTCATTCTCCCTGATCACTGTACTCCTGTTGATATTTGTGTAGATATTCGTAGCATTCCAGGGGCTCGATGAGTCGGGTTTTCCGAAGATCACGACAGCGCTGATGGACTCTGCGGATGATAGTTCCAGTTTCGGATTGCCTGGAAGATTGAATAAGAAGAATACATTTCACTTGCAAGAGATCTGTGCCATTTTCAGTTTAGGCCACAGAATGACTCATGTGTTGTAGGAAGGAAGGTAGCCTTCCCCAAAATATCACGGTTCGCTTGAGACTCAGTTAGACTGCGTCTTCAGCACATGGGAGGCGAGTAGATCAGCCCACCAGCCAGTGGTGAAAAATCGAAAATCCAATTCGCAGCATCCATATTTCCCTGGTGCCAGGGCACGAGTGCCAACAACTGTGGGCCGTAGCACGACTGGAAATAATCCATCCGCTTCCAAGCAGGACTTGAACCTAGTAGATCTACCCTGTGTTTCTCAATCATGGCCTTAGACCTATGCCTGCCCGCCTTCACAAGCCTAGAGTCAATTCACAGGTCGTGGTCGAAATTGAAGAGATTATGACCAATGTGCCAGGAACATTCATTTACATGTGTTTTTTCTTTGGTACCTGATATGCTTGATGAGCTGTGCCGAAAAAATGGTAATTGCGTACTCAAGTAATAAACAAGTTGACCTTAGGAAATTGACTTCAGCTGATTTCTTATTCGTCAATTTTCTACTTTCACGAAAATGTTTATTGCAACAATTCCATGCTCATCTACATGTGTACATGTATTTCTTCATCTACACGTATTTCACCGTCTGTTCAGTTGATTATGAAATCTATACGAATAACCAGCAATAACGATGACATTTAGGCCGCCACTAGCCTACACAACACGTCAAGCCATTACCCCAACACTTACAGATTGTGTGCCCATTTCCAACATATCCTGGGTTGCATGTGCAGCTGAATGATCCTATGGTGTTGGTGCAGTTTGCATGCTGATGACACGTGTGATTGCTGTTGGCACATTCATTATAGTCTGCATCAGAGAGAAAAAATCAACACGAAGAGTATGAGATTATTCCGCCTTGTAGAATAAAGGCAAACACTGGATTTTCACATTCGTTAGGGTAACATGTATTGTCTTAGCTGTGTGGCGATCATGTTATTATTTATTATTATGATTTATATGGAACGTCCCCCTTCATTGTGTGCAGACATCAATGCACACGTCGCCACTTCTTCCGCCTCACCCATTTTGACTGTTTACATGGGTAAACAGCAACAAAACTGTGAGTTTTCGCTCAAAGTAATGGTGTATGACAATTATTAATATTATTGTACGCACGTCCGCGTTTACGTCAACAGTAAGTCCACGTATTCGCATGTGCCAGAAGACAGGCAGAGTGGGCAGAGAGGAAAACAAAAAATAAAAGTAAAAAGACAGCAGGCGATAGGCACATAACTCATGTTCGATGATAGGTGCTCAATGCACGGGATCTATTCGAAAGATCAAAAAATAAAACAAGAATAACAGACAACGACGATAGGTTTGTAACTCATGGTCGATGGTAAGTGCTAAATGCACGGGGTCTGTACAATGCCTTTGTCCCATCCGTTAGTTACTGCGTACATCCTGGCACAGCCCGCGCCACGCTGCCTATTTAGTTGCAGGCTCAAACCTCGGCGAGGATGCTGCGCATTACTTGTGTTTGTTTGTTTGTTGTTTGTATCTATTTTGATTCGCAAGTTCAAACGGGCATAGAACCCAATAACATGAAAGCGAATATGCTACTGTTCCGTCCGGAAATGACCCGTTCCAAGGTTTGGTGGACTTGTTTGAAGAATATTTCGGTGGAAAGCGCAGTAAACCTTCCCGCCTGGACGCCCTTTTTGCTGTGGCTCAGCACGATGGCGAGTCAATCCAGGCATATCGCCACCGGATCCAGAAAGAATGCGTGCGTGCGACCTGACAACCAGCACCACAGTGGAGAAGGGTTTAAACGCAGTAGCTGTCCACCTGTTCGCCCGTGGGCTGATGTCGCCTTACACGAGACAGAAAGTGCTGGAGAGCGGCGAAGACACCCTCGCAAAAGTAGCAGAGAGTGCCCAGGCAATACCTTTGGCCACAGCAACTGTGGGTGAGCAGCAGTCTGGGTCAAACATTGCTCATGGAGGTTCCTCAGCAGAGGTTTCGTTTGCCTCAGGAATGCAGCACCGTCGACCTGCAGCACCCAGACCAGCACAACTATGTGACTACTGTGGGGAACAGCATCCACCAGGTAAACGATTCTGTCCTGATACCAAATCAACCTGTGGAAACTGTCATAAGAAGGGCCATTTTACAAGAGTATGTCGGAGCAGCCGCGCCGTGCAGCATACCGAATCAGTAGCGTCGTCCCGTAACATGACACGCCAGATGCCACCACCCGCAGGAACAGAACCCTGTGGCTGGATGGACAGCCAGTATGGCGACGTGTTTAGTGTCAGAGCGGGGAAGACTGGGTTTGTCCTGCCACTCCGCCCGATTCTACTGGATTATGCACACCAGTTGCACATGTGTGTGGACAGCGGGAGCACAGTGTCTATTCTGCCCCTGTCCCAGTTGCCTGCTGGCCAAGACCTGGGCTCACCATCCACGCGGATTCGGCCTATTGGTAGCCAGGAAGTACAACCCGTGGGAGTGTTCGAGGGACGGCTCAGCTACCGTGGTTATGAGTGTGTGGAACTAATCCACGTCATCGATGACAGCCGTTACCATGTCGTATCCCTCCTCGGTGAAGGTGCCAGCATTGCACTCGGCCTTCTGGAAAGTTCAGACACCAGGCCAGATGTGTGCCACGTCTCGTCAGTGCCCGGTATGCCCGCCGCGTCCATGGAGCCCACGGATGCCCTGGCTGCAATGAAGGGTCCGGTAGCCGTAACGCTGGACGAAGATTCGACGCCTGTGCAACAGACCGCTCGGCGAGTCGCTGCAGCTCTCTTGCGGTCACTTCGCCAGCAAGTCGACAAGTGGGTAGCGCAGGGCGTAGTTGAGAGAGTGGAGACAGTCAATGACAACGACTTCATCTCACCGCTAACGCCAGCACCGAAAGCCGACAAGACGATCAGGTGGTGTGTTGATCTGCGATGGGCAGCTAAGTTGTTGTTGTTGTTGTTGTTTATTTATTTTACATCGCATAGCAAACGGGCAGTTCTGCCCAATATTATGAAAGCGATGACAACCAGTAAGAAGAGTCAGAAATGAAGAGAAAATAAATGAAAATAAAAATACGAAAACGGAAGTAGCAATGAGGGGAGGCAGGGTCAAGACGAGCAGAAAAAAATGGATCTCAAATTTACAAGTCGGGTCATCGTAGCATGATTCTATCGAGTCTCATCAGCAGGTTACGAAAGCCATTACATTTAACCGAAGTAGAATACGCGTAGCATGCGTTTGAATTCACGGACAGATACTATGGACTTCATGCAGTCAGGCAGGCCATTCCAGAGTCGGCAGCTGGCTAGAAGCGGTCGGCATGCGCCAGAAGCACTGTGGGCCAGGGGGAGGGGAAGGTTGCGTCCCAATTGACCTCGAGTGGTCATGCCTGTCGGCGGGCCTTGCAATACAATTCGGGACGACAACAGCTCACTGACGATTCCAGAACGGATTCTAAATGTCAGGAGTCGGAGCTTGCATTCCCCTCGTTCCAGCACTGGGCAGACACCCAGCCTGGTGTACAGGGGAAGAGTGTGGGCCAATGGGTGCTCATCGGCCACGCAACGGATGCAACGTTTATCCAGTTTGGCTACTGTGTTCCGCTGCTCAGCGGACAGTCCTGGGAGAAACGCATTCGACGCATATAGAATATCCGGTATGACAAGGGCAGAGTAATACAGCATCGCCTGCCGCACTGTTAGGCAGTGCCGGATCTGGCGGAGGATCCGCAGCTTCATAGCCGTGCGTCGGACGATAGAGGTGACTTGCGGTGACCAGCGAAGATTTTCGTCCAGAGTGACTCCGAGGTAGCGAGCCGTACTGGTCTGGGCAAGAGGCGTGCCAGTGCAAGTAATGTGGAGGTCGAGGTGTGCCTGCCGTCCAGCTTTGATTGCAAGTACTTGCGTCTTTCCGGTGTTGAGGATAAGCCCTTTGGCATCGAGTAGCCTGGCGACAGCCGACACTGCTGCGGAAAGGGTGATGTTGATGGCGTGAGCGCTAGCGTGGCTCAGGTACAGCATGATGTCGTCCGCGAACATTAGTGTACGCACCGGGTCAGCTACTGATGCGACACATCTCGTGTAGATCGCGAATAATATCGGACCAAGCACGCTTCCCTGGGGGACACCGCACGTGCAAGCTGTTTCCTCTGAGCGTGTACCGTTGGCAGTGACCACACACTGGCGTCGTGCGCTGAGGTAGTCCGCAAACCAGTCCAGTGCCGTAGAGGAGACACCAAGTTCGAAGAGATCCTGGAGCAAGGTCTGATGTTGGACCTTGTCGAAAGCTTTGCTCATATCAATGAGCACCACGCCGGTATGCAGGTGCTGGTCTGCGGCTTCGTAAAATTGATCCACAGCCAACAAGACTGCGTCCTCTGTGGAGTGGTGGGCTCGGTAAGCGAATTGCTCGGCAGGAAGGAGGTCATGTTCGGTTAGGAGCACACAGAGCCTTTTATGCACAATCCTTTCCAGGATCTTTGAAACAACCGGGAGCAAAGATATAGGGCGGTAGTTCTTAGCAGTTTCGGGGTCTCCTGCCTTGAAAATGGGGCGAATATGGGCCAATTTCAGCATCATCGGAACCTTTCCCATGGCCAGTGACGCGTTCATCAAGATAGTCAGTGACGGGGCCAGGACCCGAGCGCAGTGTCGCAACACATAGCAGGGAATTCCGTCGCTACCCGTGGCCTTCCTCTCGTCTACCTTCAGTAGGAGAGCAAGCACTTCTTCGCATGTGGCTGGTTCGAAGCGGTTCAACCCATCTGCTATACCCGGTCCCTCAGGTTGGGATAGGACATCAGGTCGCTGCGGATCGCTGACAACTGAACTGAATTGGGCATTGAGGGCAGACGCAGTGAGCCGAGTAGGAGTTGACGATTTCTTCCGACCTAAGTCAGCTAAGTCTACGTCTACGACGACAGCCAGGCCTGGAAGGAAGCCGTAATTCGTCGCTGACTGTGTCTTTTTCCAAAAAGGGGAGAAATGTAGCAGCCCTGCTACCATGACTTGTGCATGTGTTGGATCATGATATGCATGTGTTTGTATGGTGATGTCCACAAATCAACGCTGTACAGTGTGCTATATTTGAACTCTGCTGTGACTTGGATTAGTAGATCCGCGCGGAACTCTGCACGCGCTGGATCTGGGCCCGTGGTTGTTTTTAGGAGCCGGAGATGCTCGGTTGTGTTTTGTTCCTCTGGAGTACGAGTTGTTTCCTTTGTAATTTGAATAATGTATGTAGCCCGAACCGAGTCCGCTGTTACAATGACATTCGTCAAATTCTCTGCTTGGGTAATTCCGGAGAACACAGTCCCAAGCGAGCATCGGACTGGAACTGTTGATGGATGTGTACCATTGCCACTTTGGTTTATGTTAGCATTTTGCAGAGGTTGACTTATACATGTAACGCCTGGAGAGATCGGACAGAACGAGTAGTCTGGTAACAATTTGTTTTCAACCAGTAGCAAATCAATAAGGGAAAGTCTGCATCGGAGATGCCCACAACGGTTATGGGGCAACTAGTAATATATCCCATAATGTTGGCAGGGAGAGCCAGGTTAAGTACATAATCACAAGTAAATCTGGCTCTACAACGCGGTCATAAACCTTGTTTAAGAATGGGTATCTCAATTAGCAAGTTTATAGCGGACTTGCCCCGAGTCAACTAACAGTGAGAGGTGATGTGTACCTCCCATAAAATGATATCCCCTCCAGTAACATGTAATGCTGCAACCGCTAGTAAAACAACACAAAATCTGATGTGCCATGCGTGATAAACCTTAGTAATAGGAGTATTTATTATTTTACTTGGATATACCCAACAGGCATGGCCTTCTTACAGGGTGCCCAAGGAGAAATTGTGAGCCCGTAGCGCGAAAAGCAGGCAAGCTACGCTGGGATCGTATGATAGCGGGTAGTGCATTAATTAAAGCGGTTAGGACGAAGAAATGAGAGACTGTAGAGGCCTGGCTGGGAAATGACTGGGAGGAGAAAGAGACTACTGGATGTTTGGCATCTGGTTTGGGGTGTAGTGTGGGTAGCAACATTGTGTGTCGTGAAGATTTGGGAGATGAGGGGACTGCCAAGGGAACTGATGCCCCGAAAAGTAAAAATGAAAAGCTTAATAGTGAGGCGTAGACTGAGTTACCTTAGACACCTCGCATCAGGGAACGCTACACGTTGACGCTATAGGCTGATATGCACACCAAACAAAGATTTCTATGTATCGATTCGTACATCAAGTTTCATCTTTCCATCATAAGCTCAAGTACATCAGCATAAAATATAATCTCATTCCCATAGATCCGCCATCCTAGATTGTACTGTATACATATTTCCCTACGGCGGTCTCTATGTTACATTCTACTTCATATAATCACAGAGCCTTCAAGAAATGCTTCTGCACGGGACAATGCGAATGAAATATGCTTCACAAGACAAGCATTATATGACTAGCTCTAGGCTTAGATTATCATTGGTGAAAATGACAAATGCCACATATTTATTATTACAGCGTGCGATAGAGCTGTCGGCCATTGAAGAAAATGTTGAGTCACCTCCACCATTACACTGCGCTCTTAGCCGACTAGACCCTCCTGCACACAACCATCACCACTGCGAGGACACTTCCGTAGACGATATTGATAACTCTCTCCTTGACGAGCTATGTGTAGTAGCGAAACAGCTGTCAGAAGGAGTTAGCAACATTGTCTACGGAAGGGCCCTCGCAGCGGTGATGGTTGTGTGCAGGAGGGTCTAGTCGGCTAAGACAAGAGCGAAGTGTAATGCTGGAGGCGACTCAACATTGCCTATAAATTGATTGTATGTCTCCAAATCCATGACGCAGAGGTGGATGCGGATGACACATACTGGCACGTATCTAGTGGTAACCTTATTGGACCGAGAAAGGACTTTTTACTGTGAACACATTCTCACAAGACGCATGTTATTTTTTGCTGCTTATACTTCACTCAGTGCCGCAATCTCTTACATACTGGTAACAGTGCTGCCTATGAATATACCCCATGTCTACAACTCCATGGAAACATGATTTCAGGATTACATCATCTATCACCATGTCATCCACAGCGGGAAATAAACCTCCCATCTTGCATGCAGGCGTGAAGTTGGGCCCATACGTGATGTAGAAGACAAAGAGTGTTGCCAAAGCTACCCATGAAAATTAAACTCTACCAGAAGGTTTATACTCTCGATAAAGTATCCTTCAAATGGTCTTTTTTCGAGGTATTCTCCCGGTGTTTCAGAACAGCGTTTGACCTTACAATATCAGGGTATGACACTGTCAAATCATGTGAAACTGTGGAAAAGGGTTTTACCTCTTTCAGTGTGGCTTACACATATCATTTTCATTGTCTTCAACATACATGTATGTATATAATGTACTATCTCACCTTCACAGTAGCCCTCTGACCACTGGAGGTTTTCTTGACATGTAATGGTGCCATTCTGGGTGTTCTCAGATGTGCTCTGTGACCAATAGTAACCGAACATGCACTCCACAGTTGCATTGCTTCCAATAGTGATGTTCGTATATTCTATCCCAACAGCATTGGTAATGTTTGGCCTTCCACACGATATTGCTGTGAAAGAAGATGTGCGGGTAAAAGAACACAATGGCGATAACATCGTTGATAGGGAGTTGGAAATTCGGTAAGGGTTTACGAATCGGGACCATCACATTACGGAAACATGCATGTAGAAGCAGCAGAAGAAGATCAAAAGTGGGCTACATTTGTGCTGAGGAAACACAAGCTGTGCGATAGTTAACTGAAAGAAATGTTCCGCTGTTAAAGAAATGTTTATTGTGATCACAGATTGTGCGTTGGGCTAGTAGTATGAAGGATTATGTTTGCATTCATAACAAAAATAATGTCTAAAAAATACTCACGTTCGCATCTAATGTCCCCTGTTTTGTGTGACCATTTTCCACTAGTTTCGCACTTCACTCCCATGATTGTGACATTGCTTTCTTGCCCAGTGATGTGATATCCGGGGTTGCATTCGTAGTTTATGGCACCACTGCGAAAGGCATATCTGTAGTACTCCTTGCGTGGAAACAGCGATGTGTTTCCATTGAAGTGCGATGTAGATGGTACAGGGCATTCTACAGCTGTATCATAGCACCAAGAGACAAACAATGGATGAGCAAGTAAATGCATTGCAACGGAAGCTGTACTATTTCATGAAGTTAAAGTTATATCTATCTTGTAGACCAATGTGACTGATCCAAGTTCGAGGTCGAGCTTCCTGGCGGCTGACTGACACTTGTCTGACTCGACACTGGTCTCTTGGAAACATGAAAAATGCCGGACCGGCCATTTGCCAACCCTGCAAGAAGGCACTACTCCTCGCTCAGTACACAGTGTGTCAGTGAATGCACGCCTCGCCAGAAGTGCCTGAGAAGACTAATGAATATTTTCCTCCAAGATCCTTTCATTGTGCAGTGCTCGCCCAGCGACAACATCACTGCGGATAGGAACGTTCAGTGACACACCGGTTTCATAACGACAAACACCTTCAAAGCACCAGTTCACAACACCGTCACTTCCGACTATCGTGTGGCACACTCGCAACATCGACCACAATTACTAAAATGTTCCAACTTTGGGGGTAATGTATATCCTTCAAGCATGTGAGCTCTAGCTTCTTGCCCGTCAACTGATGGACTCACGACTGGCGCGTCACAAATGCCGGGCCATCCACTCAGGAACCCTGCAAGACCCCAAACCATCGTATGTTCCACATCCTGGGTCCAATTGGTCTCCTTAAAATCCTCGAGACCATGGGCCTTTTGGCAGTTCCTATCTACCTACATGAATATTTGAAATGTTTGGAGTACTTTGGGCCCACCACTGAGACAACACGAGAAGGACACCCGCCTATAGCAGTACTTCTGGGCCAAGAAGGATGAAGGGAAGTCATGCAGCATTCAATGAGCGGTACACCGCGGAGCAGTGGCCTACAGTAACAAAAGCAAAAGGTGCAACCTGTGCCTGGCAGAAAAAATGGCACCCGCGCAAGCACACAAGCACCTCTCTCTCAAGAGAGGAGTAAGCTTGTGTCAAAGTGTCGCCACGAGAACAAGTACTACAGTAAGTATCGTTTATAAAGTGATCGGATATAATGATATACCGGTTATAGTGATAGAACACGTCAAAATCAAAATCAAATCAGAAAAAATACAGCTAAAATATCACTATATACACTATTATCGGCTATACCGATATATCGCTTATTGTGATGGACTTCAGGAAGCAAACCATATCAAATGTACAGGAAAATATCGTACCTTCGGAGCTTCAAACCACCCACAGCCATCACCTAATTAAGTAAGATACAACCAGGTCCAGTGGTTATCACCTTCCACCACTGCTGTCATTCGCACTTTTCGATTTGCCCCATGATGCAGTCATTTACGCTTTGCACTGCCGCCAATCACAACTTTTAGATTTGCGCCGTGATGCAGACATTTACACTTTTCTTTGTGGATATATAAACCAGTACTGATCCAGATTTACTTATTATCGTTTTCTGATGATCGCTTAGTGCGTGAAACTCAGAGTTAAAAAACGTTCTCTGTCGTCATATTGTTAGTATGGCCATAATTATATATTTGGAACTCGGATGGTGAGCCATGATTAAATGTAGAAACTCTTAACTCTTAACTCGTATCCATTTTGTCTTTTTCCTTTCTATAATTATTATATGAGCCCCGGCCAGCGAAAACCAGCACTTGTGTACTTGATATCAATCATCAAAATGTGACGTCAAAGTTTGGGACGCGCAGTGAGCTGGCTTTTGAAGATTCTTTTTCGATCGAGTGGGTGTCTTTGTTGTCAAAGGAGTTTCAAGTTTCTTCAAAATGTCTCTGGTCAATTGATTTTAGCGCTAGGTGAGAGCTCGTCACACGGAGGTTTAGTTTAGACACAGCGATGGCGACAGGTGTCGCGACAAAGGCTTAGGTCCAGAGTTGTCAGCGTGAGACTCCCTGTACGAAGCGGCGCTGAAAGTTAGTTCGCGATCGGAAATATTTCGTTGGTGGCGATCTCGCTGAGTTTGTCCAGCAGTGGCGAGTCTCATATGCATAGCAATGAAGAGCCCTCATAAAATCGATACTGGATACTGGTGGCGACGATAGTCAGTGCTGGAGTAATAGCGACTGCGAGGAGAAGCTGAATGTCGACCCGCTGAGCGATCCGTATTTCTACATCGACAACAATGATGTTGCAGACACTGATGGAGGGCTTCTCACGGCGCAAAACAGAGCGTAGTATTATCAGTACTCTACCTTGCCAGACGACGCCAAGCTGGCTGCTGCCTGTGCTGAGAAAGGGGATCCCTAAAATCTCAAACCGGCTGAACGCTTTGGGGCAACATCTTCACGTGCTACAAAACGCGAGTATTCGCTCATATCATTGAAATACAATTATGCTGAAATCATGGTCTGAGTGAAAGTGTGCAAGAGAGTGGATGTCTCTGGTATTGGTGAGTACATCTATCAGTATGGCAAGCTTTGGGACAACACTCAAACTGCCAGCACAGAGGTCCCTGAACACAATTTGGAAGGCCAGCCACCAATCATCGTTATGCACTCTGGTGTTGTAAAGAAGGTAGTGATGTATACGGAATATCGTCACACTTCTGAACTACTCATGCCTGCAGCACCAAGAGGGCAAGCCTGACTTGCATTCTATTTACTTACATGTACCTGTTCCACATCACAATCAGAAACTGTAGGATCAACTTGCATGGAGTCACTAGGCATGGATGCGGCGCCAACTGTACTGAATCTTGACCTGTGTGACTTCAAACCATATTTTCCATGCTTTCGCTTATCAGATTGCCACCAAACTTGATAACTTGAATGATTAATAGTGTAGAAACAATTTCGAGGGAAAAAATAATTTTTGAAAAAATTACAAATGTTCAGGTTTCTGCTGGCTGGGGCTCATATAATATAATTATTGCAATTTTAGATGATAGGCCAGAGGAAGAATCCGAGCTTACCTGAACAAGATGGGATTGGTTTCGACCATCGTCCGTCAACTCTGCACTGTACCGTCTCTTGTGTCTTCATCTGCCTTGTTGAGTTGGTTACATAATAGCCAGCTGAACATGTAAAGGTCAGACTGTCTCCAAATGGAACACGAGCGGAATAGTTCCAGATCCAACGTACTTGAGAGTATGACCATAATTGCAGCCAATGAGTGTAAGAACTGCGAACTGTTCCGTGCTTGATGCTCCTGCGCCCGTCTGTGAAAGTTGCTCGGCAAACCACCCCTGGAATATAAAAAATGGAAACACTCGAAGAATCAAAATCCCCGTAAATAATACCATTGAAAGTAAGTAAATGATCGCGTCCGATCCCGAAGGGAACTCACGGTGGGTTGTGAGGGGATACGTCTCACAACCACTGGTACAAGTTATTTTACTTGGGTATACCCAACAGGAATGTCCAAGGAGAAATTGTGAGCAGCTAGCGCGAAAAGCAGGCAAGGTACGCTGGGATCGTATGATAGCGGGTAGTGCATTAAAGCGGTTAGCACCAAGAAATGAGAGACTGTAGAGGCCTGGCTGGGAAATGAATGGGGGGAGAAGGAGACTACTGGATGTTTGGCCTCTGGTTTGGGAGGCAGTGTGGGCAGCATCATTTCAGGTCGTGAAGATTTGGGAGAGGAGGGGACTGCCAAGGGACCTGATGCCCCGAAAAGTAAGAATGAAAAGCTTTTAAAAGAGTGAGGCTGAGGCGTAGGCTGAGTTACCTTTGACACTTCGCATCAGGAAATGCTACACGTTGACGCTATAGGGTGATATGCACACCAAACAAAGATTTCTGGGTATCGATTCGCACTCATCAAGTTTCATCTTTCCTTCATAAGCCTATAGGGTGATATGCACACCAAACAAAGATTTCTGGGTATCGATTCGCACTCATCAAGTTTCATCTTTCCTTCATAAGCCAAAGTACATCGTCAGACAATATAATCTCATTCCCAAGAACCCGCCATCCTAGATTGTAATGTATACATACATATTTCCCTACGGCGGTCTCTGTGTTACATTCTACTTCATATAATCACAGAGCCTGAAAGAAATACCTCTGCACAAGGCAATGCAAAAGAAAAATGCTTCACAAGTCAAGAATTAATTAAATGAATAGCTCCAGGCGTAGATTATCATTGGTGAAAATGACAGATGCCTAAGAATTATTATTACAGCGTGCGACAGAGCTCTCGGCCATTGAAGAAAATGGTGAGTCACCTCCCTGCGCTCTTATCCGACTAGACCCTCCTGCACACAACCATTACCACTGAGAGGACACTTCCGTGGACGATGTTGATGACATCTTCCTTGATGAGCTATGCATTAGCGAAACAGCTGTCTGAAGGAGTTATCAATATCGTCTACGGAAGTGTCCTCGCAGTGGTGATAGTTGTGTGCAGAAGGGTCTAGTCGGCTATTAGCGCAGTGTACTGGTGGAGTTGACTGAACATTGCCTATAAATTGATTGGAATATCTCCAAATCCATGAAGCAGTGGTGGATGCGGACGACACAATCTTACTGGCAAGTATCTAGTGGTAATCCTATTGGACAAAGAAAGGACTTTGTACTGTGAACATTATCATTAGACGCATGTTGTTTTTGCTGCTCATACTTCACTCAGTGCCGCAATCTCTTCCAGGAAACCTACTGGCGACAGTGCTGCCTATGAATATACCCCATGTCAACAACCAGGCAGGCACAGTGGGTTGGTCAAAGACCATGATTGAGATACGAGAGGTACCTGGTTCAAGTCCTGCCTGGGAGCGGTTTTCCAGCCGTGCTGCTACCCACAGTCAACTGGGAACTTGTGGCAAGGCACAAGGGGTACATGGATGCAGCTAATGGGGTCGCTTTCGGCACTTGTGCCAGTGGTTGTGAGACTTACCCACTCACCCCCACCGTTAGGCGCTGCATCTGCCGCTAGGGTTTATCGGGTGTTAGCGGCCGTCGTGAGTTCCCTTCGGGAACGGATACGATAATTTACTTTTTTTTACTTTACAACTCCATGGAAACATGTTTTCAGGATGCCATCATCTATCACCATGTCATCCACAGCGAGAAATAAACCTCCCATCTTGCATGCAAGCGTGAAGTTGGGCCCATAGGTGACGTAGAAGTGTTGCCAAAGCTACTCATAAAAATTAAACTCTACCGGAAGGGTTATACTCTCGATGAAGCATCCTTCAAATGGTATTTTTTCGGGGAATTCTCTCGATGTTTCGGAACAGGTTCTGACCTTATAACATCAGGGTATTACAACGGCAAAGCATGTGAAACTGTTGACAAGGGTTTACCTCTTTCAGTGTGGCTTACACATATCATTTTCATTGTCTTCAACATACATGTATGTATATAATGTACTATCTCACCTTCACAGTAGCCCTCTGACCACTGGAGGTTTTCTTGACATGTAATGGTGCCATTATGGGTGGTCTCAGATGTGCTGTGTGACCAATAGTAACCGAACATGCACTCCACAGTTGCATTGCTTCCAAAGGTGATGTTCGTGTATTGTATCCAAGCAGCATTGGTAATATTTGGCTTTCCACACGATATTGCTGTGAAAGAAGATATGTTGGGAAAAGAACACAAAGGTGATTACATCGTTGAGAGGGAGTTGGAAATTTGGTAATAGTTCACAAATCGGGATCAGCACATCGCAAAACCACGCATGTAGAAGCAGCAGGAGAAGATCAAATTCACATTCGTTACTTGTAGTACTCCCTATTTTGATTTATCTAGATCCTCTATTTGGTGAATTCCTCATTTATCTTTTTTCCTCTTAATCTTTCTCCGATACATACGATACTAAGGACAGAAACACACTTCAGGCTCTTTGTCTACATCTTGAGAGATTAGAAGCGGTGGTGAGGCTTCCTGCAGCTTTATTCGTAGCAAAAGGCTTCAGAGCAGACCCCTCTTTCCCGCATTCACTCAGCAATGTCGAACTCCATTATCAATCAGTTAGACACGTAGTGCAATAAATATATTCACTGAACAATGGACATATCTGACAAGTGTTTACAACGGTAGAGTTCTATTTATTAATATTATTACAATAGCGAGATTTCCCAGATTGCCTAGAGTGTTCAACACCACAAGGATGGAGCATTACCACAAAAGGCAGAAGAGAACAGAGACAGCCGGCTAGGTCATTGTTGTAACGCTGCGTTTCATGCACATAGCAAAGCTAAGACAATCCTCAGACAACTGATAACCTGTACATCATCTGGGGCCAAATTTATACCCAGGCAGGTAGCTACAACGGGGTGCGCAAAGTGAGTGATGCGCGAAAAAGCACGAAAAATCAGGTGGCATAGCGCGCAAAGGTGGCAAAAGCGCGATATTACTGTGATATTTCAAGTGATACGTTAGTTAGGGAGACATGGTGCGGATGGTGTCGGTTATTACATGGGAGGAGAGAAAAGGAGGGAGAGAAGGAGGGGTGACAGTCAAGTAACACGTTAGTTACAGTGACGGCGGGCAGGGAGGCAGGCCCTGGCCTGGGCCTGGTGGCGGCAGGCAGGTGCCGTCGGCGGCAAGCAGGTGACTAAGTGACGACAGTGCCGTAGCGCGAGAGGTAGAACTTGTTCTGGTGTCGACATTTTGATACAAGTACTAATTCTGTTTTTTTTTGTTGAGGAGCGTGGCTGCGTCAGCGCGGATGATTTTGACCTTCTCCGCTAAGCACAGGCCGCATCTTTTTGAGATGTTGCTGTAGGTTTTTGCTCTGTCGACGATGGACCATCTGATGTCGTACTCTTCACCCAGGTCCTGCAGTGCCCACAGGTGCTTCGACAGCTGCGTGCTTTTGCGGTACTTTTCGTATCTCATAGTCGTGAGGTGGTTGCTATAGCGCGTCTTGAACGGTGTCTCGCAAAGGCCGAAGTACCGCCTCTCGTCACCTGAGCTCCGGGCCGTGACGTTCGCTTGATAGACCACCCTTTCCTGCAAACACCGGCTGTCCAGACGGCAAGAGGGTTTAGCTCGGCAGTTGCATTCCTCTGCTGGTTTTCGCACGTCGGCCGGGACCAGCACTTTCTGGTTGTGCCCCTTGATTATGCAGGCCATGTTGGGCATACACGAGTAGCTGACCTTGACCGTATTTTTGTTGAACATTTTACAAAGAGGTGACGATGCCGGGAAGTGCTTTCGAACCAGCGATACTGGCCGATACTGGATACTGGCCGATACTGGTAGACACGGAATTGCTGAATGGCGGGTTGTACTAAATTATGTTTCTCTTTCTTTCTCGGCTCTTCTTTGCCTGGCCGCCGTTGTTGAATGTTAGTGCGGCCTGGAATCCGCTGGCTGATAGTGCTTCCCTGTAGGCCGGTGCAGCATTGCTGAAGGCCTCTTGGTCACACGAAATGCTCGACACTCGCTTGTGGATCATTGCCGGCAATTTCTGTATGATTGTCGGCGGTTGGTTCGACTCGGTGTTGATGTATCTCGGTGCGTTGTTCGGTTTTCGGTACGGCTCGTAGCGGCCACTTGCGACGTTGAAGGTAACGTCAAGGAAGTTGACCGTTTTCTGTTTTGTGCTGATCGTGATTCTTAACCCGGAGTCTCTGAACAGCTTCGTGTCTGCCTCGTGTCCCGTCCTGTTCTTGAATACTGCAAGGCCATGGTCACGGTACAGGTCTGTGCTGGCGGGGCCGAACATATCTGCAAGACGCTTCAGCAGGAACGCCCCTACCAGTTGGCACACTTCCGCGCCATCATAGCTCCCCATGGTGACGTCGAATAAGCCTACTCTGTCCTTCTTGGCCCATACCTTGTCACCTGGGAATAATAAGGATTTTCTGGCATGCATGATCGTATCGACGTGACGCTGGGGAATGGCGCTGAACTGAGTTGCAAACTCGAGCGACGCTTTGAGGAGCTGCTCTGAGATCGATGTGAAATGAGGCGAAAGAATTTTGTTCTTTATCCTCGATGTTTTTGAACCAGTTTATCACCTCAGCCGAGTTCTTCCACAAATTAGTGTTGGTGTGGCACTGCACTGCTCGGACGATCTTGTCCAGAATACTCTTGCTAATGATTCCCGTCTCCGTCTTGGCAGGGTTAATTAATCGACACGGGAGGGCGCGGGTGAAGTTCTCCTTATGATCTTTAAGGGTCAGAAATGCACCAGCCTTGCCGACTACGTCCATTCTGTCACCGAGCCCCCGGTCAGCGGCTATTCCTCTTGCCTCCATGTTTATCTCGCCGTAAGCTCCTTCCGGCGCTGACGCATAGTGCTTCGTCACATTCTCGGTGGGCAGCTTTCGGCACTTGTCCTTTAGCATTTGGTATAAGTTCCTGGTCTTGCCTGCTGGTATAATCAAGTGCTCGGTGCTCTTCATATCCTGGATATCTTTCTGGAGAGTTTCTTGGAACTAGTTCGTGGTCCTCCGTAATGTTATGTCTTCCAATACCTTCAGCAGGTCGTCTTCGAACTGCTTTAGCTCCTCAACCTGTGGCGAGCAGTTTCTGCTCTTGAACCCAAACTTGTCCGATTGCTGTTCGGCGTTGCTTTGGCCCTGAAGGAAGAAATGCGCCTTCCAGCGCGTTCTTTTTATCACGCTCTCTGTCTTCTCGATCAGCCTCCGCATGTACTCGTAGTTGGTCGGAATTGGTATGTTCTTTAGCGAGTATCCCAAGTCAAACCGCGTCGGTTGGTCCATTCTCTTGCGGCGGCTAGGCAAAGAAGACCCTCTTGCCCTCTGGACGGCCGGTGTTTGCAGGAAAGGGTGGTCTATCAAGCGAACGTCACGGCCCGGAGCTCAGGTGACAAAAGGCGGTACTTCGGGCTTTGCGAGACACCGTTCAAGATGCGCTATAGCAATCACCTCACGACTATGAGATACGAAAACTACCGCAAAAGCATGCAGCTGTCGAAGCACCTGTGGACACTGCAGGACCTGGGTGAAAAGTACGACATCAGATGGTCCATCGTCGACAGAGCAAAAACCTACAGCAACATCTCAAAAAGATGCGGCCTGTGCTTAGCAGAGAAGGTCAAAATCATCCACGCTGACGCAGCCACGCTCCTCAACAAAAAATCAGAATTAGTATCAAAATGTCGACACCAGAATAAGTTCTACCTCTCGCGCTACGGCACTGTCGTCACTTAATCACCTGCTTGCCGCCGCCGGCACCTGCCTGCCGCCTCCGGCTCCTGCCTGCCGCCACCAGGCCAGGGCCTGCCTGCCTGCCCGCCGTCACTGTAACTAACGTGTTACTTGACTGTCACCCCTCCTTCTCTCCCTCCTTTTCTCACCTCCCATGTAATAACCGACACCATCCGTACCACGTATCACTTGAAATTTTATTTTATGTTCTTATTTTACGAGAAACCACGAAACTCGAGAACAGAATACTGCATGATAGAGGTGGTTGCAGACGCAACTGTGGTGGTGAAACTGGAGCATCTCCGCCGACCTGAGGTCTCGGCTCAGCGACACTTCAGTGCACCAACAACTGGGGAGGATTAGGCACAGGGAGGGGAGGGGGGGGGGTACATTTATATAGAGGAAGGAAAAACGGAAAGATGATACATGTGATAGAGGAAGAAAAATAAAAAATAAAAAATACGAAGTAGTGGTTGCGACTTCGGCGATGATTTGTAAGAAATCGATGGACTTCTCGTGTGCTCTGGACGGCAGTCGTGAGTCAGTCAAGTGTCAAGTAAAGTCGGCGGAATAGCGCGAGCTCCGGTGTGGGGAGCAAACCCTTTCTTAATAAAAAATAATACTAATAAAAAATTAAAAAATTAAAAGGGGGGAGCCAGGGTGCAAGCAGAGAGGATGTTCAGGGAGTGTTCAGAGGGCATCTGTGGCTGAGCGCCAGTCTCGGCTTCGAAGAGACTTGTAGGCGCCTTCCTTGAATGCCTGCATTCCCTTCTGCGTGGGAAGGTTGCGTAGCAGGGCAGATGGAAGACGATTCCAGTCTTGGATCGTGGCATGGGGGAATGATCGGAGAGCACTATTACGGGCTCCGGCGGGCAGTGTCGGTGCTAGTTGGTGCTGGTGCTGGTTCTCTTGCTGGTGGCGAGTGGAGCGCCGGTGCTGGTTATCAACTGCCCTCGGTGGTGTCATGATGGTCAGGATTGGGGGACCGTCGATCCAATGCAGCTTGTACAGGAATGTGAGTGCTGCGACTTGACGCCGAACAGTGAGGCTTGGGAGGTATGACCCTGGGCCGATGAGGTTTAGGGCTCGGTGCTGTACCCGGTCCAGCTGGTTCAGGATAGACTGGGACGCACCCAACCATGAAAGTGGGCAGTACTCAAGTACTGGGCGGACGAAGCCGCGATACACGGCATACTTGGCCTTGCTGTCGAGAATGGGCAGGGCCTTCCTCATGAAGCTAAGACGTTGGTGACCACAGACTGCAACCTGTCGAATGTGGGAGCGAAAGGAGAGGCTCCGATCAAAAAGCACTCCGAGCAACTTCAGCTCCTCCACTTCCTCTATGGCCAATCCATTGAAAGTGGCTGGAGGAATCGGCCAGGGTTGACGGTGATGCGAAATTGTCAAGACTTGCGACTTTGTCGGCTCGAATGCGATCTTCC